CAGCTCTTAGCGGGACTCTACTCGCGAGTGTAAAATAATCCAAGAGAAATGATACGATGATACGCACCGTAACAGTTATACATAAATATAAATATTATTGATATGATTAATACAATTAATGATTACGAAGCAGTAAAAGGGATTTTTAAAGCAACAAAAAAAATATGTGTGAGAAAGAGAGAGTGTATGTATGTGAGAGAGAGAGAGAGAGAGAGAGAGAGAGAGAGAGAGAAGTGGATCTAGACGAAATACATTGACTAAAAAACGTAACGACACATCTTACGAGCAACATATCCTAGCGTACTAGAGCGATGGGCGGGGAGGGTGGGCGAAGCGTGGTGGCCACTCGAAGATAAAACCGCGTCGGAGTACGTCGAGTTTCCTTCTCTCACGGCAACGCACACTTCCGGTCCCCCGGGGACAATAGTCAAGCGAGAGAAGGGAATGTGACTCAAGGTGATCCTCGAGCAGTGGCGCGCAAGGCCCCCTCACCCTCGTATTTTTGTTTTTCATTTCGAGTTATCGCCGGCAAGAAGAAATAATCGGGCGAGAAACTAAAAATTAAGGGATGTTCCATGACATTAGGGCGTTACGCTGAGAGAAAAATTAAATTAAGGTACATACAAAAAAACTTTCTAGTGCGTGCGTGCGTATGCGGTGGAAGTTCGATGTGTCCGTCAGTCGGAGGCGTTTGAGAATAACGGATCGAATTAGAATGAAATAAAAAAAAAACAAACAAACCGTTGGGCCCTCCTCGAATCTGCGAGAGACAAACGTGACATCTCCGATGTTCGAGACCATTCCAGCCGGATCTATAATAGAATGCTACTCGAGGAAACTGTATATATACACGACCGACTCGAGTAAAGACGGTATCAAATCTGTGGAACTTTTTCTTTTTTTCTTGTTTTCATCGTCGAAAACACTAAGTTTAACTTGTCGAGCGTAAATGAACAAACCGGCTGGGAAGAGTCAATCGAGAGACGGATTCAAGGGACATTAGAGAAAGAATGAGAGCTTTTGTAACGCGCAGGTTTATATTGGGTTGTGTGTGTGAGAGAGACAATGAGGAACGGAAACGATATTCAGATTCTAGGTGATAACGATTCAACCGAGAGAATGGAACGAAAGAAAAAATGTGGGAAATAACTAAAAAAAAAACAATTTATTAAACGATACATAGAACGTCGTAAACGACTAAAACGCTAAAAACGCCATCATGTTTTTTCGCTTCTCTCGCAGTGTGCAAACGGATTCGCGACGGGAAATGCACCAGGCGAAAGAAACGCTACCCCCGTTTCCGCTCGCGAATCCCTACCCTGAAAAAAAATTAAATAAATAAACGCTAAACGATCCGCGAGCGACCGTTAACGCCAATAGTGCGCAGGAGATGTACACACATATGGATCATAGAACACTAAGAGAGACACACACGCAGAGGACACACATGTACACACAGAGAGAGACATATAGAGAGACAGACACGCGCAAATTGTCGACGAGAAGATGAAAATGAAATGAATCTAAAACCAAGACGACAGATATATACATATATATAAATATAAATACATATGTATATGTATATCTATACATACGCGAGAACAAGAATACGATCAACTCGAACTTTAGTTGCAAAATACTGATAGGAGTACACACACACATAAGAGGTGTCGTTCAGGAACACCTTTATCATTGTCTGATTTGATGATATTTTGTAAGTCTGGACCAGTTGTTAGGTTCTTATTACTCCCATAGCGACTTCTTATGGCGTATTTTCTCTGTATATTGTCAATGTTTATTATTAAATATTTTTCAAATAAACCCGCCGGTTTGTTTTCTGTCATTTGTCATTTTCACCACAATCTCATTGACGGCACACACGGAGCCGAGATTTTCTGAATTAACGGGTACGAGTTAGAAGAAACAGAAAGGATCATGGATTTAGCGAATGGTAGATGTTTCTGTCTTAAGGGGGACTTAGGCAGTCAGATTTGGTAAAAATGTAACTTTTCTTTGGGAATTAATTATAAGAAATGAATACAAATCCTGACTATGCACTTTTGGATGATGCTTATTAATACTGTAAAATGTAAAACAAATTTTATTCTGGAACCGCTGTGGTTTTGTAGTGAACCGGCTGGAAAAAATTGAATTATGAAATTATACTGGAAAATTTTTCACTATACAAGCACTAATAAGTAGTTAAATGGGTTAAACAGTTCAGCATCGAAGAATTTTACTTTCTTCGAAAATCTCAGTGTAATTCAAAAATTTCCAAAAAGTATTTTCGCAGTTCGATTATTGTTACTACACTTTCATTATCCAGTATTATAAATATTTTTATTTTTTTTTTCGTTCCTCGAACGTCGAGATGAGAGATACTGCAGACTTCTAAAGAATCCTCTTCTTTAGAGCAGGCTCGTGTTTCCGGTGAACGAGCAGCAAAAGACGTACAGCCCAGTCGAGATGTATTTTTTTCTTCTTACTTTTCATCGGCAGTGAGTCACCGCGCACATGGGAATTACCTCTATTCGCTCTCTGTATTCGACATTCGGCTTTCATCTGTCAGTAGCCCGTGGACCGTCATTGAAGGAAGACGCGTGTGTATACTCGGCTTATTCATATCGGTCGACGCGCACGTGCGTGGCCGTGAATAATTCGAGGATCAAACAAGTGGTTTCCACCCCCGTCGGAGGCTTCCGACATAATCGGAGGTGAACACTTAAGCCCCGTACACGCTTGAAGAAATCGTTATTAAAATTTGGACGAAAAAAAAAAGCGAAGAGTCTTCCTTAGTGACATCTAAAGTGACAGCAAGATTTATTTTTTTTAATTTTACGTTGAAGTATATATTGTTCAAAGGTTCGAGTTTTATCTGACGTTGTTGTTGATTGTTAGGTGACTTTTGTTTGTGTGTGTCTTCAAGTGCGACTTCACTGCAGTTGACGGTTAGACGCTTACCCTTGCAAATTGGATAAATTTCAAAAAGTTATGCTACTAGCGTGTGCCGAGTGTCAGTGATAGTTTCGTTAAACATTCAGTTATTTTTTTTTATGTTTTCGTTATATTTATTTAAAATATATTTATGAATCTTAGCGACGATACATTGGTAGGGCATTCTGTTTTTTATGGAGAACTTTCCTAGTGAATATTTATTTACGATAATGTACATTATATCTTCTGGAATCATGCTTGAATGAAAGAAAAACTAAACGTACGCGTGTGTGCCAGTGTCCCACAAGAGGTTAAATAATGAAATAAACAAATCTCTAATTAATTTCGCGCACGGTATAGAAATAATGAATTGTATATATTCAGTGATGTGAATAATTTTAAAAGTACATTTTTTAGGCCGTTGTAAAAAAAAATCATCGAACCATCCGAGTCTCCGTTCACAAAATTAGTCGATCGCCCCGACCTGTCTCTATCCGCTGTTAGACCAAGTTGCCAATCAGGGAACCAGTTTTCGGGGGCAGGGTACCACACGAGGAGACAGGTCGATGAATCCACAGAGGGCCACGTAATCGCGGAAAAATGTAAATATCACAGTACGCCGCACGAGAGCGTCTTACGTCTTCCGCAGGTGGGAACAATAAGAATCGAAAGAATCAAAATCGGAATACCGTTCGACAGACTGTGATATCCTCAGAATCTTAAATTAATGGTTCGTTGGATCACGATCGATGCAACTGGACCGAGAGAAGATCGCTAAGATGCCAGCTGGCTGGCCTGGCCGTCATCGAGCGTCGACGCGATTAGAGAATCCGCTCGGAAGTAATCCGTTTCGGGACGCGCGTTGGTAACTGGCGAACACGTAAATCACGGGACGTCGTGAAAGAAAGAAACGTTGTAATGGAGTTACCGTATAAATTATGGTAAGCAGACGCGTCGAGGAATTCCGACCGAGGACACACACACAAGTAAGTAAGTCTAGCGCCACTTTGCCTCGTATCGCTGACGGACTTTTAAATTCAGATTAATTGTTTTTGTGTACGTCTGGGTAAACGCCCCACTGAATGAACACTTAAGAGATTTTGTAACTATTGCAGTCAAATTTTATATGATAATAATATTAATACATATGTGGCACATGAAAATTAGAATTTTTAAATATCTGTACCTTTTTATAATGTACCTGGATGTCAATTTGGAAAAATTAGAGAAATGTCATTAATTAATTTCGTTCCCGATGAATTATCGGAGAATTTTACGATTCCAACGTTCGAAAAGAGATGTGATTCGATTATTTTCTTTGCACAAGCGTCACAGGGCATCGATGTTCGTCGAAACACGATGTTTAAAGTTTCGTTCGCGTGTGAACGCACTTTTATCGAGGGGTATCGAGTGTTACCCGACCGTAAGGTATTTTTAGTAAGCATGTAAAAGCTCGTTGTCGAAAACGGAGCGTTGTTTCGTGACCGTTGGACCGCTCGCTCTCGGAAACTATTTCCTGGGAACGATCTCGGCCTCGTGACGTACGGACAAACCAATAACAGCGATGACTCCAGCAAAATGGAAATAACAGTTATTATAAACATCTCGCAATGTTTAATGGAACGTCTGCGTACGTCATCGAAAAGTAAAATAAATTCTACCCGCAAATCGTTTCGCGGCGCCCGAATAGTAGGCATACAAACGCGAGAATTAAACAATCGTGACCGCCATATGATGTAATCGACAAAATTACGTTAACGTTTGTTCGAAAATGATTTCCTTTCCCCGTAGATCATTAAAATTCTGACTATTTTCTCATAGAATGATTAGATAACAGCGAATGATATAGATTTCAGGCAATCACTTTTCTATTCCTGTTCGATGATTTTACAATATGACATGTCAATAAAGAACCATTTCTTAGGCCAATGTTTCAGATACCAGCGAAGATTACCGTCAGCTCGTTACGATAAGTACAAAAGATATTGTTTTCCAGGCGGGCAGAAGAGAAATGATTCAGAATAACTTCCAAGAAATTCCCTGAGAGTCAGCACAGAATCGAGATAATGGAGTTCTGCAAACGCTCCAAATTTCTGCACGTGCTCCCGAGACCCGGAAGACGTATCGTGTGGTCATGGCGAACGGAAAACGGCACGATCCTCCGGATCGCGGGCAACGATCCCACGGACGATTGTCCGATCGAGTTGCTGAACATCTCCATCCCCGTAATCGCGATCCTTATGACCCTGATTGTCTGCCTCAAACAGAAATTCAATAAACGACGCAAGTAAGTCTTCAAACCTTGGCCGAGGCGACATTTCAATTTCAGATTGGAGAACGAGCCATCGACGGAGGATGGATTTTCCATTGATAATTAAGATCGAGGGAGTATCTTTAGGATGAAACTTCCGTGAACCACTTAGTTTTTCAATTTTCAGATAAGCTGCCGTCACACGACTCGATGATGAAACTTGAGGGTTAGGTTCAATTTCCAAGATGTTTGGTTTAGTAATGGAATGCTAGGGGAGGGGTGGGTAGATGAAGAAATAACTTTCGAAGCGTATCTCCGAGGAGAGAGCTTTGGAGTTTCGTCGGAGGTTAAGACTTTGTTATTCGGTAGAATGAAATAGTTCGAAAGGGTAACGATGAAAGTGTCTTAATAGGTCACTTCGGGGATCTACGGGGTTTCAACTGGGACAGCGTTCAATTAAACGGAACGCGGTTTCACGTGGTTTACTTCGGGATGCCCCGTGATTCAGTGTTTGAACAATTTACTACAATTGAACGGAATTGAGCGACTCTTCGGATTTACCCACGTATTCACCGTACTATAGAGTAGTGTTTTTCTCTATGTCTTTCGCATCGTTAGGAACTGCGGTCCTGTCCGCGATTTTTTTCGATGAATAATCGAATCGTTGTTTGGGAACATGGTCGATTATTTACCGGCGTTAAACAACGATTAGAGCCCTCTGTTTCCTGGAAAACATTGTTCGAATCGTAAAATATTTATTCGACTTCCCCGTGTTCCTTTCGTTCTTCCTAGCCTCAGCCGTCGAAGAACATACAGCGGATAAATAATTCATTCTTCGAACTTGTAAAAGGATCACGAAGTCCTCCGGTTGCGTAATTATTAATTCCACTACGAGTAATACCTTTCTGGAAAAAAGAACTACGCCGCGGAACAAACAGAAGAAGACAAATAAAAATGTTCACAATGAAGGTAAAGAAAAGACAGGAAGAGAAACACACCTGACTGCAAATATTGATTCAAGTCATAAGTACACTTCGTTTGTAGTTGAAGAAAATTCACTTTTCTAACAAATCTCGTGGTAGATACAAAAAGTTTCCTCTCATGTTCACTTTCTTAAAGCAATAATTATAAAAATTATCCAACAAAAATCGCTGTCAGTGAACTTCCATGCAATGGTGTCAACTATAAAGCGTCTAACACTCTTTTTATTCACTGTATATATGATCTATTCCACTAATATATTAAATAAAACAATCCTTGCAGTATCAGTAACACTGAACAATATTTAACGAATCAGAAATTCTTCTTGGACAATCTTCTTCAGACCGAAACCAACCTTAAAACCAAAAATAATAGATACCTGTTGGCCCATGCTATTATTCATCGCTTGCAGCATTCACGAAAGACGGGTCCGTGAAGAGACTTCCAGTCAATTAACAGAATAATTTACAACACATGTCCGTGCGCACCCGTTTTCCTCGTCCCATTCAGTTCGTTCGAGGAATCTTAATGGAACAAGATGGCCGCCCCGGCTCTATCCCGGTTCATACGCCGGAAAATCAATGTCCGTTGACTTCCTGTTCGCCGGCATCGCGAATTCGATCAAAATTCCCGCGGATCGAGGAAGAAAGCCGTTTCTCGATCGAACAAGTGGAAGTTGTCGGGCGACAGACTCGACACGATAAATTATTACAGCTTATAACGGACTAATTAATTTCATCCAGCTCGATGACCGCGTGCTCACCGAAAAAAAATTGAAATCCCGTTTCATTTCATGTTCCCGATCGCACCCGAGAATTAATTATGTAACATACGATCACTTTTCGTACGACGAGGATTGATAAACTGTCCATTGGATGATCGATTTGTCATGTTATAATTGTAACTCCGTTTCACACTCTGGGTGCAATTATCGTCTGGTGTAATTGCATATCAATGAATTTCAATCGTAGTCATTAATTACGGAATGTAATTTAATTCACTCGCGGAGGTTCAATTATATCTCGACGCTTGACGATCGAAGGATCGTGAAATTGAAGTTTCGTAAAAGCGCGGAAGATAAAATTTTTAATGAAACATAATCTTCTTGTTTAATTAGAGTCACCGCAGGGCTACTTCCGCTACATACAACCAGGACGTTACTGTGCATGTTGCTGTTGTTGATTCTTTTCTTGGAACTCTCCGAGTCCATCTTGACGACTGTATCCCTGTCGTCCATTTTCACGATCCTGGCGGTACTCTCCTGCTGGATCGTTCATCGATGGACGGAAATCAAACGAGGCTTCTGGACCGGTTTCTCGGCGGGAATCTTCGCCGCTATTGGTTTGGCACGAGCATGGAAATTCAGTTATTTGTCTGGGTCGGTAAAAAAGTATAAATATCCAAAAAAATCGTAAATTATCAAAGATTGAAGACTTCCATTCAATTCTAAATATTATGCTCTCCATTTCAATACGATCTCTCCATTCATTATCAGATACGGCCTGACAATCGAGCACGTTCGATTCGTAACGACAGCGGCGTCCGCCATTCTGTGTGGCTTCTTCGCCATCTTGGATTCTTACGCGCTCTATCTCACGGTAAGTATGTAACCGTTGTTTGACATCGTGAATACATTGTTAATAACTATTTATCGCTAGTCAAACCCACCCACGAACGATCAGGACAATCAGTGTTTAGTAGAAAAAAAAAACGATACTACGCCTTCGCCAAGTGTGATCTTCTTCTGGTCCCGATAATTTCTTCCAGCCTTCGAAATTGAAATTTACAACGGTCCTATATTCACGGTAACGCGGCCACGGAACCTTCTTACGGGGAACTATCGAGCGAGGAATTAACGGCGGGACGTTACAACCTTATCGGGGAGAGGCAGCTAGGCTCCTGGGTAACCAGCGCAAACATTTGTTTTACATTTGCTCAGCTTGTTTGAATAATAATGTTTATTATCGCGACCTGGTCGAGAGTCGGTGGATAGGCTTATCGAACGGTTAACGTTACCTACTTTCCTCTGCCTCGCTAAACTATATCGCAAAAATAGACGCGGAAAACCCGCGTGCTCGTGACGATCATACATTTACGGCAGAGTTGGGCAAAAATTTATTCGAATTACAAATAGTGAAAAGCAACACCATCTAAGATCGTTGTGCGGACCTTTAAACAATTAACGAGATTTAATAATTGTTTGCCAAGTGTCTAGTCGTTCTGAAAGAAATATTATTTTACTACAATAATTGGACTTTCCACGTTTAATCAATTAAAAACGACAAAACACTTTCTTATCGTCTACTCATTATTCGGAATTTTTTATCTAGATAATAAATTTGCTCATCTCTACATTTATGGTTACCTTGGGGCCACACGAAAATAAGACAAGAAAACCGTTCCATCGAAACGATTCTAATTAAATGTTCATTACCCAATTAGGGAATAGACGTACCTACTATCGAACTACACCATGGGAAATATAAATGCTCCGCGATATTAGATTCCAACCGTTTCGTTCAAAGAATTCCAACGTGGATGAAACGATCGCAAATAGATTGCGCGCAATTAAACGCCCAAGGGTTGAATTCCCATCGAGGTCGAGAAATTCGTTCTTCTACGAATCGATCGTGTTCGATCGAGAAATTCTCGCCCAATTGAATTGGCCGCGAACCAGACCGCGTGTTTCACGTCTAATTATAATCGTGCTAAGAACGTGCCGCCTCTTTGAGCACCCAAAGCGTGTGTCTTCGACGGCACGTGATTCCATGACTGAATATGTATTTCACGTGCACGCTCGTTGGTTCCCTTGACCCAGTAACAACACGCCTACACGCTGGATCGTGCGAATAAATCGAACCAATACGCCGCCAATAAGTCAATCTTTGATCTTCTTCGACACAGACCAGACGTAGGAGGCGGAAATACTTAATCAGACAGAAAGAAGGGGGGGAAACGGTCTATGGACACTCCGAAGCGACGTTTATCAGCAAAATTACCTTCCATTGGGTCACCGATCTATTGTCGAAAGGATACGGTTCGCCCCTCGAGTCTCAAGATCTTGGTGAACTGCCGGAAGAAGAGTCCGCCAGGCGACAGTTTCAGAAATTCAGGAGAATTTACGAGGAGAACGAGGTGAGACGACGATTGTTCGAGTTTATTATGCAAATACGACGTTATTGTGACGAAACTGTGGGGGTGAAAGAGAGAAGAGAGATACAAATAGGGGGTGAAAAGAGCCTAAAACCTATAACCAAAATTCCATTGATATAAAAGAAGCTGTGTTCAATGTTTAATAATTTCAATTTTCTGATGAAGGGGAAAGGGAAGGTCTCCCTTTGGCGATGTTTCTGGAAAAGGATATGGCTCCCTTTTACTATCGGAGGATTATTAAAGCTACTAGGGGACGCAACAACCCTTGTTGGACCTATGACCATCTCGAAAATCTTGGACCACGTCTCTGTCACCCAGAATGGGACCAATCATCGAACCTTTCGGGTACCGATCACTTACAATCTTTAATTCCTCCATTTCCACTTGGGTGATCGACAACAAATGTCAGGACACTACAAATTAAAGGCTGAAAATATCCTTAAATTTACGCAGACTGCTATGACGTTCTCCGAGGTTCTCCAAAATGGCTACTTCCTCGCGTTGCTCGTGTTCGTGTTCGCGATGCTGCAAAGCACTCTCAGCCAGGCCTCCACGCACGTGCTCTGCGTCGAAGGGATTCGTTTGAAGGGTGCTCTTCAGGTACACACTTGACCGGTCATTGAACCACTTACGGTTTTTTATAACTTCTCTTCAGAAGTTTCTTTTTAATCTTAAAAAAGAATTTACGGTTTCTTATTTCGATCTCACCGTGGCAGGCGTTGCTGTACGATAAAGCCTTGCGTCTCTGCTCGTGGAGCATCGAAGATGACGAGAACGTGAAAGAGCAACAGAGGAGCCAGCAGACCGCTGATATCGGGACCCTGACCAATCTCATCTCCGAGGACGCTTATAACGTTATGAACTTCTTCTGGATCGGACATTATACATGGGCGATACCGTTGAAAGTAAATACTGCACAGAAGATTTATTGTATTAATTTGGTAGTATTGTTAGACCTTGGCTAGAGATTAACTAGCTAACGTAATGGATCTAAACCCAGACGAATCTAAGAGTAGTCCCAGATACTAGACCTAAATCTTAACTTGACTTTCACACTTAATTTCAGATCGCTGCTATAATTGTCCTCCTCTACACAAAACTAGGCGTCAGTGCAATCATCGGTGCACTTTGTTGTATACTCCTGGTCACACCCATGCAATTGTTTCTTGGGAAAAGAATGTCAGAGAACTTCAAGTCCATCGCAGTACGTTTGATTAATCCCATTTTCTAGCTTATTACTGTAAAAAATGTCTTGGTAAACCAAGGGAAGAATTTTCTCAGAAACGAAGCGACGCCAGATTGCGCCTGGTCAACGAAGTTCTCCAGGGCATGAAGCTGGTGAAACTTCGAGCCTGGGAAGATATCTTCGAGGGGAAAATCAGGGGAGCAAGGAACGAAGAGCTGAAAATGCTGGACAATGATTCCTTCTATTGGACACTTATCAGTGAGAATTCTTCCTTATGGTAATTTGTTTTATCAAGATGATCGTTGATGGAATTACACACTTACGTTGTCAGATTTCCTCACACACGCCTCATCGGTTCTCATGACACTCTTCACTTTCGGAGCCTATTATTGGATAGAAGATCGAAGTCTGGATGCTGGAAATGTTTTCGCGAGTTTGGCCCTGTTCTCGCAACTCACCGTGCCTCTTCTTATATTTCCCGTGATGATACCTATCATTATCAACGCTACGGTAACTGTCAACCGTCAAATTTTCCGCAAAAAAATATACGTTCGAATATATTTCTATTTTGCAAGTAAACATATTTCGCTCAGATCTCTACGACCCGGATGGAAGATTTTCTTCAGCTTCCAGAGATCGAGAATATTCTACCGAATCACGACGACAGAAGGACAGATTTTAGCAACAATGATTCATCACGAACGAATTCCATAGAAGAATGCACTGTAAGTGTCTTCAGGGTATGTTTAAGTCGGATTCGGTCTGAACCACCATGTTCTTGAAGGTAGAAGCAACGAAGGTGCACAGCGCGGCGACCTTTGGTTCCCTGGACAACATCGAAGAGGACGAAGAGGATGGACAGTCCTCTGGTTTCAGGGAATACAAACTTGACATAGACTCGTCCGCGGACACGGTGTTCGAAAAGGACCCAGAAATTCCGGTGCTTCGAATGAAATCCTGCGTGTTCACCTGGGGCTCTGATGAGGGACAGCTGTTCATCCAAGATCTCAGCTTTCCACGTGGTAATTTCTAATGTTGAATGCTTTAAAATTAAGCTCCAGTGATCCTTAAGATTCTTTCAATTAAACGACGAGCCAATTCGGCTTCTCAGGGCAGTTGACACTGGTGGTTGGCGAAACCGGAAGTGGAAAGACGTCGCTGTTGCTGGGAATGTTGGGGGAGATCCAACGTACATCAGGAACGATCGAATGGACCAAGTTAGTCTTTCTGATCCTTAAAACTCTCCGTTAAAGTCACTTGAACATCGATCCAGTGAAATATATTCCGAAATAGGGGTGCAAAGATCGCGTACGTTGCCCAGAGGCCTTGGCTACTGAACGCTACCTTGAGAGACAACATCCTCTTTGGATCACCGTACAAACCACGAAGATACCGTAACGTATTGAAAGCTTGCGCCTTGCAACCGGACGTGGATATATTGCCAGGTCACGATTTCACGCGAATCGGAGAGAAGGGGATCAATCTGAGCGGTGGCCAGAAGCAGAGGGTCACCATAGCTAGGGCGCTTTACAGTGACGCGGACGTTATCGTCATGGTTGGTCCATGCAAGAAACTTTATTCCATTCTATTTCGATCGTTAAAAATCCGAACCTGATTCTCAGGATGATCCTCTGTCCGCACTGGACCACCAAGTCGGCCAGCAGATATTCGATCAGGGAGTCCGCAGGCTACTCCTGCGAAGTGGACGGACTGTGATTATGGTCACTCATCGGTTGGAATTATTATCCACCGCTCATCAGGTATGTATACACCTATTTTTGCCCTTCTTAGCTTAATTATCCTAACCATTCAGACATCCGAGAAAAATGATTCATAATTTCCATTGTGTCGTCCTTGTTTTGCATCTTAGGCCATTTTAATGTAGGAAACTTTTTAAGTATGGCCTTTTAGCTTTAATTAAACAATGAAAAGCATATGGGGCTCCAAATACTGGAAATATCTTGAAAAATGGTCATTTGTTAGATTGGACATTTTAAGTAAGGAGGACAATATTGTTCCAACACGAACATCCAATAAATATCCCAAACACCGTACATGGGTGTTCCTGAACATTCAGGTGATCGTGATGCACGGTTGTCGAGTCCGAGCGGTGGGCACGAAGTCGACGATCGAAGATTCCGATCCAGAATTGGCGGCCGAGTGGAGAACAGCAGCAGCGAGGGGGAACAATCTGTCATGTCGTGTTCATAGAACAGCCAAAGACAGGTGGTCTTTGATCAGGCTGGTGTCTAGAATCGGTATCAATCTAAGAAACAAGCAGGCTAGCGATGGATCATGGATCACTGATCAGGAAGCGCACGTGGTATGTATGATATTAAGAAGGTCACACCAAAAGTCACTATAGCTCAGAAAGACACTATACGAAGAGAATTGTAAATGGAAATACGAATACAGAATTCTAAGTAGAATTAAAATTCGAGCTACGCAGAGACATGGAATAACAGTTTCCTTTTAGAATCCTCCAGCTTTCGTGCCGCTACGGATGCGACGAACCACTCTCTCGGGTTCAAAGTACTTGGCCCCCGATCTTACAGACCTCCCGGTGCCCACGGAGGAATGGAGGGTGCAGAAGAAAGAATCGAGATCACATCATCGGAATGCGATCAGATCGAGTAGTTTGCAGCCCCATAGGCGTCCGGCGCCTGTTCTTCGACAGAGCAGCACTCCAACGATCCTCGAGAGCGGATATATTATAACAAGGTGGTTGATGTAACTGATCTTTTTTAGTCGCTGCTGAATTGCCCCTTGAAGGTGCTTCTTTTGCTTCTAGAAAAAGGAACAATACTTTCGACAGCGGACAAACCAGCGACGTCTTGAGACAGATATTTTCTGGCAGGTCTGTGTATATCTTCTAAGTGCCAGCTAAATATCGTTACAATTACCATTTCCTTGTACAATTACCATTTTCTTTTCTATCGTATCTTTGAATTTGAACATTGTTCTGTTTGTAGAACTGTCAATGTGCATCCCGACGAAGCGTCGTTGAACACAGAGAAAAGCGTCTTGCGTAGACTGATACCGTCCAATCCGAGCAGACAAGTACAGTACAATCTAAAAACGTATAGATCCTCTGTCTTTCATCGATTAGGTGTCCCTAGGACTTATCACTGAATCTACTTATTTTCCCTTAGATTCAATCAGACACAGGAACGTAATCGTCTTCCAGTAAAAAGGTTACCGTCAGTGGATTCCAAAAGGACCAACGAGAGCAACGAAATGAAAGAAAGTTCGTAGACTTGAATCAGGTTAATCGCAAAATCTGATGGGACACTAAAATGAAACTATCCGTTTCAGAGAGTCTCAATAGGGAGGACCACGAGGAATCCAGTCGCGAAGATAGGAGTGGAATGGTCACCAGAATGATTTGCATGGATTATGCGAAGGCTGGGGGGTTGATACCAGGCCTGATTTACATAGGGGTGGCAGTTCTCTGCCAGTTCCTTCGTGGTTACACGGACCTTTGGTTGAGTCGATGGACGGACCAAGAAAAAGAAGCCTGGAATGCCCATGAAGAACAAGATGTAACCTCTCGAAAATCCTCTATTTCTTTCGAACTGTTCCCAAATACAGTAAATCCTCAATGACTGCTCGAAGGCTTCTTTATGCAGTATTTGTTTATGCAATTATTCTAGAAACAAATTGAAATTTCAGACGTTCTTCTACTTCAAAGTGTACCTGACACTCTCTGTGGGCTCTATACTGCTATCCTTCGTATACAACGCTACCGGTCAATGGACAGGTGCCAGAGCGAGAAGAAAACTGCACGAAAAAGCGATCCACAGACTGTTGAGAGTACCGTTATCGTTCTTCGAGCGCGATCCTGTTGGGAAAATTTTGAACAGATTCAGCGGCGATGTAGGCGTGATCGATAAGGTTTATACATTAATGAACTGTTCGTCGATTAACCCTTTCTGCTCGGAATTATTAATGATTCCAAATTGAAATCGCGCACAAGCAGCAAGGGTTAAAGTGTTTCAATGGATGATACAGCATAGGAGAGATAAATAGTGATTGGTTCAGCGATGATAGTGAACGTGATCGTCTCACCGTGGTTCCTAGTCGCTGCTCTGCCCATCTGCGTAGCCTATTACCTTGTCCAGAGATTCTACAGACGCAGTGCAAGGCATTTGCAAAGACTCGATGGCAGGTGTGTGTCAAATAAATTCTCACACATCGTTTATTGTTCCGTTCGATGGAAGTCGAACAAATTATTGCGTCTGGATCATTGATCTTTACGATCTAAAATATGACCTCACCTGCATCCAGCACACGTTGGCCGATTGCGACGCATTTTACCGAGACCCTCAGCGGTCTGGCCACGTTAAGGGTTTCGAAACAAGAGAATCGATTTATGGACCAGGCGATCAAGTGTCTGGACACGAACACGAATGCGTTTCTGCTGTTGAACACGAGCAACCGATGGCTAGGCATCGCATTAGTAAGAGAACCTTTGATCGTTTCGACTTCTTAGACGGAATTTAATCATTTGTTAACTTTCAGGATTATCTGGGAGCAGTGATTGTGGTTGCAGCGACGTTCGCCGCGTTAATATCCGCGGAACTCTATCCGAGTCGCGTGACACCGGCTTTAGTTGGCCTGGCGATCAATTACTCCCTTCTAGTAGCCATCTATTTAAACTGGGTGGTGAAATTCACCGCGGAGATCGAGATGTACATGGGCAGTGTGGCGAGAATCTCTGCGTACAGATATGCTACAATCGAGAATTATCGAGAAGAGGGTAGCTAAATTATTCTTGAGACGCGTATCGCGACCTCGACGTGTTTTAACCCTCTCTGACCCCCTTGGTATCGCACAAGCAAAATTTTGGGCTCCAATATCTTCACAATATTTTAAGGGGCAATTAATCCAATTCGAATGGATACAATTTGATTTTTTATACCTTATTTTTTTTTTAGATATCAACATGATCTTGAATTTTTTCGTAGTCAATACCACATTGTACTGATAATTCTGAAGGTCACGCAATGATTTCAGGTGTCCAAGTGCCTGAAAATTGGCCCGACAAGGGTGAAGTCGTCTTCGATAATGTTTCTTTAGTGTATGACCCGCAAACGGAGCCAGTGATTTCGAACTTATCCCTGAAGATCCCAGCAGGGCAAAAGGTGAGAATCACGAGAGAAGAAAATATTCCAAGAAACTAATGTAGTAGACCGTTGCTCTGTAGATTGGAATATGCGGAAGAACCGGAAGCGGAAAGTCCTCCACAATAATGGCGCTGTTTAGATTGTTGGGGATCGCGCAAGGTAAAATTCTAATCGACGGAGTGGACGTTCGCGAAGTGCCATTAACTGTCCTTCGCTCACGGCTATCGGCTATTCCTCAGGACGCAATCATGTTCAGCGGCACTATACGGTAATTTTTAATCGATATCTCTTTTCCATCTATGCAAAGTTAAACACTACGAAAAACAAACGATTTACAGGGAAAACCTGGATCCCCTCTCGATGCACGAAGATCGAGAGCTATGGAACGCGTTGGAGTTGGCTCAGATCAAAAACGTTGTGGCCTCGCATCCCGAAGGACTCGGTAAGCCGTGCTACGCGAAAAATAGAATACGTGAGAGAATAACCGATGATTTTCACAGGCTTCGAGGTGCGAGAAGGCGGCGAGAATTTCTCCACGGGGCAACTACAGCTGTTGGGCATGGCGCGAGCGATACTCCGTAGGTCCTCGATCGTTGTCCTCGACGAAGCAACCAGTGCACTCGACGCTGCCACCGAGAGGACACTCCTGAAAGCGGTCTCAACCGTTTTCGAGGACAGAACTGTGATCGCTATCGCGGTAACGCTCAACCTCGCAGCTTCTTGCATTGTTCTTATCTCTCCTCGAATCGAACAAACACCGGCACAACTCTTTTTTTCCTTCTCCCCTATTTTGATTGCAGCACCGCGCCGCGGCTCTGCTAGATTGCGATCGAATAATCGTCTTCCACGAGGGTAGGATCGTCGAGGAGGGCGCCCCGATGGATCTGACCGGACGACCAGGTGGATTCTTCGCGAACATGTTGAAGTCCACCGCCGAGCAGAACGGGGAAACGATCGATCGTTGAACGATGGATCGATCGATACGAAAACAATTATCGATAGACCGGCTGTATTCGAGCGAGATTGCGCGAAATGTATTTATTTTTGATAATGATGATAAAAGGAACGGTACATACCCGAGATATGGGTCGTTGAATCACTTTTTTATTATATTCGTGAAATATTAAACATAGTGATCGATCTCAGGTGTATAGGGTAAAAGGGCGTAATGGCGGTCGCTTGTGAAAAGACACGAGAAATTGTTTATGTTAATACGATTTCACGACCGAGATACAGTAAATCACAAACATTTCCAATTTGAATGTCTCGAAGTACTGTCGTTTAAATTTTTTAACCTTTAAGGAAGCCATTTTGAATGCTTCAACTAAATATATGAATTGAAAAAAGTGCTCGAAAAAATTCTCATTTGATTTTAACACAAACAACGAAATCACGATTATTTCACTTACGGTTATAAACAATATAAAAATGAGTAATGAAGCGTCACTTTGTTGTTATAATAAATGTTATAATAAATGTTACAATAACTTACCAGAATTCACCAATTCCCCGCCGAATTCCGTTTGAAGGGACTCAACGATACTCAGGACGGTAGTGTGTACTTCCAAGCCGAAACTCTGAAACAGAAAATAAACATGCATTTTAAGTAATTACACAGCGTTAAGAATAATTACGTTACAAATGAACAATTATTGAACTCGTGGTGTGTCGCAAAGATTTCAAATTGAGTCAGAAATACGTAAACATTATATTAATTGGTACACAGTGAAACCCAAAAGTAAAGCGATACCTACGATATCGAATTAATTTGGGATTATTTAGTCTATATTGAATAAATATTAAAGGACAGTAACGATAGAGAGCTAATGAAGGTACTAGGAATTAATATATATGAATAAAGATGAAAAGTAAATGTCAAACACTCACTTTAGCACGAGCAAACGACTTCTACGTCATTGCGTCACCTTCTCCGAGACGAATGACACTTCGGTTACACTCGGCCGGTCTCGAGCAGTTCATTCGGCCATCTTCGGGGGATTGCGAGTAGCTGATTGGTCAGGTCAGAGGTAGCTTCCCGCCTAATCGACTAGGCGGGAAAAACCATGTGCACTACACCAGTTTAAAAGCCGAATGTAACACTTGAAAAATATAACACCAAAAATATACATATAATAGAATATGTACATTTATACCAGGCCTACATTGTATACATATATGTCAAACTGCCGTTCAGGCCTGGCGAGAAAAGCAGAACATTCTTCCTTGCTAGCAAAACCGAGGGCAATAATGTATGTGTGTATCACGAGTGTGTGTGTGCTGTGCGTCAACATGGTGTCCAACGTAGTTCCTAAAGTCGGAAACTTTTTTGTAGAGTGCGCTCGAATCAGCGGGATTTTCGTGGGATACCAATTCCCATAAGATGTTAGGTCTATTCTTCTGTGCTGGAACTCTTTGGTTTTTATCTACCGGTATAACGTACGCTCTCTCGCGTCACTCGTACGATAAACGACCGGCGACCGTTTGTATTATTCATTTTCGTAGTTCGTAGATGGAATTCGAAGATCGATCGATCGAACGCATGCGATTATACGATGTTTCGCCGAGCGAGAAAGTTTGAATTCCCCCTTCCCCAAATCCTTTGAAACGATCGTGGCTTTTAAAAGATTTTTATGATAAACAGTGGCCTTCTTTGCGAAATACTCAGTGATAAAGAGGAAATCGAATGTAGTCACCGGTCTCGAGGTCGATTTCAGAATGCAGGACCTTGAACGGCTGTGAAGAGTATTATTTATTGCAAAATATCGTATTTTATCTACGTTCGTGGTACAGTTTCGAACTGTTCGTGATTGAAACACTTCGAGAAACTGAGATCAATTTGGAATGTAATCTAAAATTGAATTATAAAAATATAATGTAGCCTCTTATATCCGAAAAGATTGGGAAGCATAAGTTTTTTGATAGAGAACTTTTCGGATGATAGGTGACAGAGATGATATATTCCTTCCTGATGCAATTCAACCGATTACCAAAAAGAGCACGGGCCGCCTACACCTGTTCAACGAAAAGTAGAATAAGACTCGTTAGATAAGACGGGGCACACCGGTGCGTGTAACCGCCTGTTGACACTGCGTCTCTTTGTTATCGGCTAGATAAGATTTCTGCGTCTTTGTCGATCTTGAGGCATCAGTTTCACGCGCGAATTCAGGGAGTGCAGCTGATCAAAACCGCCGAAAATTGCATCGACACCGTCTCAGTTCGAGCAATCACTCCCGCTAAATTGAACTTCTGCTCCCTTGGGGCGTGATCATTGTGGTTCAATGTCGATCGGTTCCGTTCTCCAAGCTTCAATCTGACAGGTGAGCCTCGAAAATCCACCCGTTCTTATTCACGATGTTCGATCCCATCGAAAATTCTCGAAAAAAAAATACTAAAAAAATAATACGAGAATTCGCTTCCGTGCGAACCGGACCGATCCTCTGTCTTCACAGGCCAGTTTATCTCGTCGATCTAATCGATCAACGGAAACGACGGTATACTCGGTCCGATAAAATCGTGGTGTCGACAAGCCGTGTCACAATCCAATTGCATATTTCTATTGGTGAACGCTCGCGGAGATAAGCTTTCTCTCTCTCTCTCTACTCTGCAGAAACCGTGGTTAGGTAATCCTTTTACCGCGATTAAACAAATACCATTGGCTTCAGAATTTCAAGCTCTATCACTGTGCTGACCCCTCATTAAAAAATCAGCGTTACACTTGGAAACCTCTCCTTGTCGCAGCCTTCAAATATTCACCGATGATTTACTGTATATATGCGCACGGTGACACGAGGTTCCGTTCACTGGGAAAACAAACCCCTTGAAACACAGCCCTTTAGTTGATATACATACATATAGTCTTCAGTTAGACTATAAGTCCCAAAGTGGGCGCTGTGAAGATCTGAAAGGGCGTTCTAATTATTTTATGTTCAATATTTTCAATTGAACTTTTTATGTTTCAAAGATTGCATGTACAATTATCCTTGGAAATTTGGATAATATAGACACAGAGATAGTTTACTCGAAGCGGGCACTAAACAAAAAAAAAACTTTAACAAGGGGGTGGTGAGCCAATAAAAAGATTGGGAAACTGTGGGTTAGACTGTTCTCCGCAAACATTTTGTTCCGCTTTGTTCATCGCTTAGCATGGCTCGCGATAAACCGATCGGATGGGGAGGGGTGTGGGGGAGAGGCAAACAAGGCAATTAACGCAAAGTGAGAGGCGATAACGAAACGAAAATATTGATAGAGAGTAAAAATAGATGTAGACTGTTCGTAGAGTAAGTTCTATGGGGAAACCAGGTAATTCGCGAGTGAACCACCACGTGTATCGCAATTACGTTCAGGGCAATTACACACGCCTCTACAGCTGATTAAACTCTCGGTCGTGGAACGTCGCAGACCGCGAATCGTGTGTTACCGATGACGGAGCTTGATCATAGGCGAAATACCGTCGAGTCATATGTTGATCTTTATGGGCTGAGATAGAAATTAAAGGGTATAGCAGGATAAGGTGGTCAAAGTGCCCTAAGACCGATTTGGACTTAGCTTGTCAAGAAAAAAAAAACAGTTTGTTTCAAGTTTCAATTTTGATTATTCGTTATTGGGATTGTTGGTTATTCCTCTATTTTTCATGTTCAATGACGTGCATATATTTTTTTTTTAACGTTTCTTACGGGATAGACGGAATTTTGTTATGAATACGATCCGACCTTGTCCCCAGCGAATCGTTCAGCGATGACTCAAAAAGTTGACATTTCTAATGCATAACGCCAGTCATTCCGTGGAATTCTATCGTTCAGCAAAAGCCAATCTCTGTGTAAATAATGCTCGAGGGAACAAGACGATACGGATTTGTGATTCCGTCGACAGACCTCGCGACACGTACCTACTATCCGTCGAACGTGAAAGACCTCTCCGATCTCAATCGTTGAATCATTATCGTGACGATAATACACGCCCGTTCCGCCGACCAAATAATTTATACTATTGCAACTGTCAGCTCACATAATTCCCCGTTCCGCCACGTTCGTACGGACAACACAACGGCCAATTGTGCAACGAAAAATTATGAAACGCGTCCGTTGCGCACGCTGGTAACGCGAAGTAACATCCTCGTGGTTATGTAAAAACCACACGCGAACACACACATACACATACTCATACATAGAAGAGAAAAATGAGGAAAGAAAAGAGAAGAAGAAGGCTCGAGAGACAAATGTGGCGTGTCGTTGGTGGATACAATTATTCGAGGACGTTCGCTTAATTAACGCTCAGTGTTGCACCGCACAATAAGTCAAGAGACCCGAAAAAGTGGCCGAAAACGGACTTGAATATTAACCTAACAGAAACTAATCATCATACTCAGGAATAATCAAGAACAAAATATTTTGTTGATTCAACAATTCCTGTCCCATTGATGTTAGTGTAAAATGGGTCTGTGTAATATCGATATTTTCTAATACAAAATAACAGAATATATATCAGTCTCATAATTTTCAAATAACGATTTAAGAGTCTGGGTGTTAAAGGGTTAACCGACCTCTGGACGGAACCGGAAACATGCATCGAACACTAAACGTGGCGCAGTTAGATTATGATCATGACGGAAAGGAACGATTTTCCGGTTTCTTGGGCATATGGGGAGAGACGAACGATCCATGGAACGTCACGTGACCCTGTTCGAATCTCGAAATATATATCCACTGAATTGTTCGAAAACATTTCCTAGGAATCCCATGGAGCAAGCCCGTGACTCGCTCGGCAAACTCGCTATAAATAACATTCGGGGCGAATCGTCTCTACCAGCGGTTAATCAAACACCCTTATCGCTCTCTTAACATACGTAGTAAACCGAGCTAAGTTCTCTCCGTAACGAGGCTACGCCACACCGTTGGTCGTGAAGCTTTTCCCTGGAAAGTCCGTCTTGATATTCCAATCATCGACAAGTCTAGGTGCGCGAAAACGAACTTTCCAGTGACGGATATCGACGATTCGAAGGGACTAAGAAGCTCTTGGTTATCAGAATGCCCAAATAAAAGAGAGGTTGTGTCTTGGGGCACACCAGAAATGGCCAAGAAACGGTCACAACTAGGGTAACTGACCCAATTACTAGCACTGTCACTTGTTAAGGTTAAAGAGTATAAGATTTACTTAATTTTTGAGGTGATAGTTAGAGGGACATTAGACTCGCATTAATTCTGCATGTTTAATGTATGAAACTATTTCATTTTAATGAAGGAGATGTTAAATAATATTATTTTCCAAGCTGTGACGATTTCTAGGTTAAAGAACACGTGAAATGATTAAACGACGTTACGCTACAATCTTAAAGTGGCAGTAATTGGGACATCTACCCTACTTCCGCGAGCGTGCAAATTCTTCCGAGCGTCGGCACGTGACCGTGTCCACAAGAGGATGATGAGCATAGAAATCTCGCGATATCGTATCCCCAATAGGGCCCACAGGCGCGATAAGATCAATTCCAGGCTTCTTTAACGCGCTCGATGGTCGCGTCGGTTGTTAACGACGAACAGCGTGGAAAATAATCAGGCCTGGATTACGTAACGTACATAGCTCTCGTTCGAATGTTAAACCGTAGCCAACGAAAACTCCGTCTATCGAACTGTTCGCCTTATGTTTTGGGACCTACGGATCAGAGTTGTCGAGGAAACTGTCTCTTTCTATATTCTAAAAATCGAACGAATGTTTCAGTAACGGATTAAATTAAATATTCCCTCCTGTATCGAGCTTAAATCGTCGAAATAGAGGAAACTTTTCAACGACATGACCGATCGCTCTCGCGAAACGAGCAGCACATATACGCATACACATATCGTATCCTCCTCTGCCGCACCGTGAGAACGTGCTAATGTATTGTGACGTCAGTGCGCAATATATCGTGCATCGGTGGTTATTAGCATAAGCATGTGACCAGTAAAGGTAATACGAGCGTGCCACGTGCTCGTGCTTCACTTCCGTTTTGTCGGCGAGTTTTCGCGAGTCGACGATCCCCGATCCGTGGTGTGGTGGAGACGCGACACCAGAGAGAGAGTGGAAGAGACCAGACGAGGCAGCGCGGTTGCAGTAGTTCACAACAATTTCCTCGATTCGAGCCGGGCACTCCGTAAGTACGTAAAATCGGATCCCCCGTTCGAGGAACGTCGAAAATCACCGTACCAAATATTTGCGTTTCGCGCCGGTTTTTCGTGACAATAAGGAGAACGAACGCGATAAAGCGATTCCGTTTCTGGTTACGCAGCTATCGAAGGTATATCTACCTAAAGAGATAAAAGCCCATTCTACCTGTTATCTGCAGTTAACGTCAAGCGAGCAATCGACAAGAGATCAGATCAGATAAAACGGCACCCTCGCGATTCTCGACGACGCGTTTACGTGGAGAAGGAAATTGTATTTACAACACGAATTGCACATCAGTAATGCGATTCGAATCGACACGATAGTAAGGACAGAATCAATCCTTTTTCTGGAAGTGTCTGTATACGCGTGTGTGTGTTTATATATGTTCAATACTCTCATCGTCGCGGTTTTCAGGCGTGAAACGTGTTTGCCATCGGGATGCGTTGGACGAGGAATGTATAATGAGGTTCTCGTGCTTCCCGAGACCGAACATTCTGGGTCAGAGGGGCAGCATCAATCTCACCCCTTTGCCCGGGAACGACGAACCGAGCGGCGTGACTGGTATCAGTATAGTAAGTAGTATATGTACTTACGTTTCACGTGAAAAACCTCCTCGGGCCTACAGGCGAACGGTAGTTATGTTCTGTCAACGCACGTCCACAAAGTGATCCTGAAATAACGTAAAATGATTAGAGCTTTTCTGTTCATTTAAGTTGTAACCCAGACCTGACATCGTATTACGATAATGTAGAAAAATATTGACAAGATAAGGAAATATTAGAGATTAATCAGTCGTGATCTTACATGGTGTGTAGTAGCCTCCTTTGGGATTAATTTGCGGATCTGCGTTCATTGGACATTAACCCGAATATGCCCACCGTCCCGCTATAAGGACTGTATTTTATTCCTTCTTCAAGTTGCACAGTTGAAAGACAGATGGCACACCGTTTACTCAAAATGACTGAAAAGCACACTAGAAATTAAGAGGATTCCTCATGAAATACTGTAAAAGTTATGAAAAGAAATAATATACTTTAAAGAAAAAGATTTCGGGAATATCAAGGTTAATTGGATCTTCTAATGGACGCTACACGTGTGCTCCCACTTCCACGGAATCACCTTGTAGAAGCTGTTTGAATAAGAACCATTGTTTTCTTCCTTTGTAGAACGGAAATGCGAAGAGTCCGGTAGTAACGAGCTACAAGCAGCCTGGGGAACCAGATCTGAGTCATGGCGTGGTGAGCAATTACAGGAATCCTGTTTTAATTAATTAAACAAGGTTATAAACGCGTGTTTTCTTGTCGTAAAAGTTAAGCGTCTAATTACCCGAGGCCGGTCGAATCGATCCGTGTAATTACGTAACGAAGTGTAACATTGCGATTCGTTTGTTTAGATACGACCCCTGCCCGGCGTCACGTTGTACAATGGGACCGGGCCTTCTCTGAGCTCCGTTGGAAAAGGGAGAGCGCCGCTTCCGCCTCGACATAACCACAGTCATCTTCCCACTCATCCGGAGAACGACCAAGAAGACGCAAGAAGCTCGAATGACTCCGATCAGCAACCAGCGAACAACCCCAGAGGCGGTGTCATCGGCAGGACCCCGACGCCGCCCTCTGCGCCAACGCCTACCTATGAGAAAGACGCCAAGTAATAACCAGAACAGAAAAAGTTATAATGAAAATTAGCATGTTTGTAAACTGGTTTATACGAACGTTCTCAAACATAAGCCCGGAATCATTTATCGTTAACATTATGATTCGGCCATATTGAAGATACGCATAAATCCTTGGAAGATCGATTTAGATTCCGATATACTGAAGACATGATCTCCTTTCGTAGGAGCAGCCGACAGATTAAGAGAGCCATCTTGGAGAACGAGTTCCTCGGTAATCTGGAAGAGAACCAGGTGGAGGCTGTAGTATCCGCCATGTACCCGAAACAAATACCGCCGAGTACCTTGGTCATACGAGAAGGAGATATCGGTGAGAGTTAAATACAGTATTCCGTCGATCACTGTCTGAAGCATTTCTCCTGTTCGATGCTTGTCGCGACGGGGACCCGAGTTCTTGACAATAATCGACGGAACACTGTATAATCTGTTTTCTGAGATCAGGGCAAATACTGATTCACTTTGTTCAACGCTTTAGGTTCGCATCTTTACGTATCGGCGGAAGGTGAGTTCGATATATATCAAGGCAACAAGTTCCAAAGAAGCTTTGGTCCCGGTGTGGCCTTCGGCGAGATCGCTCTACTGTACAACACGAAACGACTCCGTTCCATTAGCGGTGCGAATTACAAAATATTATCGAATAAAGTGACACCATTTCGAGACTTCTTGAAGTCAACATTAAAGAAATTACGTTGGACTTTCAGTGAAGAAAGGTGGAAAGGTATGGGTACTGGACAGATCCGTGTTCCTCACCATAATGATGAGGACAGCCCAAGAAAGGGTGGAAGGGAACATCCGGTTTCTCCGACAAGTGTCCGTTCTCCAGAAGCTGCCGGAACCGAAGGATCATCTACTCGCCAAGATTTCTGACCTCATACGTGTGGTGACTATTGCCCTGGTTTCCGTTGAACGATCCTCCAAAAACAATAAAAACTTTAACAAATCTAATCGTTCAAGAATATCTTTTTGTCTCGTAGGAATTCTTCGCCGCCGGAGCGAAAATCGTCAGACAAGGCGAGAAGGGCGAGAAATTCTACATAATCAGCGGCGGAAACGTCAGGATCACGAAGGACGCCGAATACGGCGGTGAGGAGGAATTGGTTGTGCTCGGTAAAGGTCAATACTTCGGCGAGAAGGCTCTTTACGACGACGAGGGTGAAAATCGACGGCACGCGAACGCCGTGGCTCTTGCCCCTGGTGTCGAATGCCTGACGCTGGATCGATCGTGAGTGTCAACCTGATTAATATTTTGGTGGAAAAACGGTCGGTAGACTCGCGTAGATCATTCTGCAATACAAATAACACCCTCAGAACCTTCTTGAACTACCTGGGTGGTCTCGACGAGATACGGAACAAGGACTGGCTAGCGGAGTACGAGAAACAAAAGCGTTCGCTGACCCCGAAGAAATGGACAAACGAATATTCGAACCTCACATTGGGCGACTTAGAGACCAGAGGCACGTTGGGCGTCGGAGGATTCGGCAGGGTTGAATTGGTCACCCTGAAGACGGATCAGGAGAAGAGCTTCGCGTTGAAGAAACTGAAAAAGAAGGTGATGGTCGAGCAACAACAACAGGAACACGTGTTGAATGAGAAGCACATCATGCAGGCTTGTGATTCGCCGTTCATATGCAAGTTAGTAAATGTACATCATTCAATAGATCAATTCGACGAAACGAAAGAAATGATCTTTTTTAATTCGTACTCGATTCTTGTTTCGTCTAGACTCTATCAGACGTACAAGGACAGAAAATATGTCTACTTCCTGATGGAGGTATGCCTCGGTGGGGACGTGTGGACCACCCTTCAAAGGAGGCGATATTTCGACGACGTGACCGCGCAATTCATGATCGGCTGCGTGGTGGAGGCTCTCGATCATCTTCACGCGTTGAACATTGTCTATCGTGATCTGAAACCGGAGAACCTTATGCTTGATTCCCGTGGATACTTGAAACTGGTCAGTATTGTACACGATCACCTCGTTGAAATCACGATCGATTTACGTTTTACCGTCACGCCCGTTTTGCAGGTTGACTTTGGGTTCAGTAAAAAGATTGGCCCCTCCAAGACGTGGACGTTCGCTGGCACGCCGGAATACGTGGCACCGGAAATTATCTTGAATAAAGGACACGATAGGTAAGTGATTTTTGGTTATATCAAACTTTGGTAATGTAACAACCAAAACGATTCGTGGTTCCATTCGAAGGGCGGTGGACTACTGGGCCCTCGGAATATTGACGCACGAGCTGCTGGTTGGGAAACCACCGTTCCGTGGCACCGATCACATGACCACATACAACAAGATTCTTAAAGGTATCGAGGTGGTCGGTGTACCGAGTATCGTCAGCAAGAACGCGAATAATCTGATCAGAAAGCTTCTCCGTTTGAGCCCCTCGGAACGTCTTGGGTATCAAAGAAACGGCATCCAGGATATTCGAAATCACAAGTGCGTTCACGATCGAAAGCCATTGAACCTTCCTACGATAAATATTTTCATTTTTGGCAATGGTTTTTGTTAACGAACATTGGTCTATTTTTTAGATGGTTCAACGGATTCAATTGGCAGTCCCTGCAGAGACTGACTTTACCAGCCCCGATCGTTCCGACTGTATGTGTAGTCTTGAGATCCACTTTGATTATCGATAAATGCAACTTGTAAAATTTAAACGATTTCTCGTTAATGTGTCCAGGTACGAAGCCAAGTCGATACTAGGAACTTCGAGAGGTATCCACCGGACCGCAATATTCCACCGGACGAGTTCTCCGGTTGGGACGCGACCTTCTAAATGATCCGATGATTATCAAGCTCTATACACGTGCCTTATCCGTCGGTTGAACGATAAGAATGGACGATCTGCAAAAAATTGCATCGACGGACTCTTTGAATGGCGATCGTTTAATAAAAATTCACCGATAATACCGAACGTTTGCTGTCTTGAATAGATTCGATCATTGTACAGATAGTTTCCCATTTAAGCTTGCTAACTGACCTACGGCCACGAACGGGTAGACCGTAATCAACCGATTACCATGCCGCTCAACGTTTCGGATTCGTAGGATACGTACGTGAAAGAAAAAATAAAAAACTGACGCTCCGTGACGGCATGGATACTAATAGTCCGCAATGTTTCTTGAATTGATGATAAATTTATACTTAAGTTAATAAAAAAAAACGTCTGAACAAGAATTCAATTGATGTGAAGTTCCTTGTGTAAATAATGTCCACACACTCTATCCTATAAAACGATAATCGTGACATTGTACACATATAATATGACAATTCCACTGATAACTACTCATCGAGCAAAAAAAGAAATGCATTGTTTGATACCGTATGAACCTTCGATGATATCACACTTATCGAGCGCATATCCGCTAAGCCACGTTCATTGCTGGACATCGCGATTCATCGGAGATAAGATCAATAAGCACTATCAATTGGTACCAAGCGTCAGTAGATTGCCAATCGTGAGCGTAAACCTGATTAATAGTATCCCTGAAGCATCGTTCGAAATTTCGCGCAGCAAGATGCATTACCTGCGTTTACGGAAACACTTTCGATTCAACATTCAATTCTTCGGTTCCCAACGACGTGACAGCGACGAGTATTACCGACAGCTGTTCCATAAGCGGAAACAAGGCGTGATCGGCGAAGTGAACGTGTCCACCGATACTCCGGTCGTTGTCTTCAAGAAGGACGAAAAGTAAACGTCCATTCGGTATCATCTGAATATTATCGTGTACACATGACAATTCACGTTCGACGCGACTCTTGCAGAACGAAGCAGCTCATCAAGAACGCTATTCTGAAGAACAAATTCCTCGGTGATCTCGACGAGTCGCGGATAGAGAACCTGATTTCGGTGATGTACCCGAAACGCGTGAAGGCCAACACACGGATCATTCACGAAGGCGAAACCGGTGAGTTAATACTCGATGGATAATATTCACCAGCGTGGTAATTTGTTTATACGAAACAGGATCTCATCTGTACGTCTCGGAAGAGGGCAGATTCGAGATCTACGTTGGGAACACATACCACGGATGCTTTGGTCCTGGCGTCGCTTTCGGAGAACTGGCTCTCTTGTACAATACCAAAAGATTATGCTCCATCGATGGTATCGAAACGCCAATTCCTTGATTTCTGTAAATTAAACTTGAACTTATATAACATTAAGGTGTTTTCCACTTCAGCGAATACGAATGGAAAGATCTGGATACTGGACCGACATGTGTTCCAAACGATAATGGCGAAAAGCAGCGAAGAGACCATGGAACAAAATCTGCTGCTACTTCGTAAAATTCCGATATTCAAGGACTTCCCAGAAGAGGCTCTGTTAAAGATTTCTGATCTAATAGTTGTGGTAAGTAAGTCCTTTCCAATCTGTTGCCATTCACAATCCATCATCTTCCTGGAATCGCTATTGGCCACGGGCATATCGAAAATAAGTGATCTGGAATATCCTGTTCACATTCACCTTATGAATCGTTACGAAAAGGTTTCTTTGTAGGAATTCTATAAGTCGAATATGTACGTGATACGGGAAGGTGATCGTGGGAACAAGTTCTACATCGTGAACGGCGGGAACGTGAGGATAACGATGAACAATTCGAACGGAATGGAACAGGAACTGATGATCCTCGAGAAAGGCGACTACTTCGGCGAGAAAGCACTCTACGACGACGGCGAATCTCGTCGACAGGCGAACGTGATCGCGATGCCGCCCGGAGCAGAGTGCTTCACCATCGAGAGATCGTAAATGAAAAAATTTCCATCAACTTTTCCCCCATAGAGCAGATTGTTCATAGAGTTTAACCGCAACTGTCTCTTCGACGTTAGAGCCTTTCTGACTTATCTCGGTGGTCTGGAGTCAATCAGAAACAAAAACTGGCTGCAGCACCAAAAGTCGACCGAATCGGACGATTGGGACGAACAATTTCGGAATTTATCCCTATCGGATTTAGATGTCGAGGGCACCATTGGAACCGGTGGATACGGTCGAGTGGAACTGGTTACAGTGAAATCGACATCGAACGTCAGCTTCGCACGGAAGAAAGTGAAGAAACACTTGATCACGCAGGGTAACTTCCAGAAGATGATCTACAACGAGAAGATGAACTTGAAGCTGTGCGATTCTCCTTTCGTTTGCAAGTGAGTTCAATGAAGAGAATCGAATAAATCGAGATTAGGTTCGATCGATCTCTTGGTTTCTTTCAGACTGTACAGAACCTTTAAAGACAAACGGTATCTGTACTTACTGATGGAGGTGTGTCTCGGAGGCGACTTACGGACAGCTTTAAACAGAAATGGCCGGTTCGAGAATTCAACGACTCGATTCATCGTCGCGTGCCTGATCGAAGGACTGAAACACGTTCATTCCTTGGGCATCATTTACAGAGACTTGAAACCTGAAAACGTCGTGATCGATCACCGTGGCTACGTTAAGCTCGCAAGTTTTTTTTTCTATTTTAATCACAGAATATTTACTGGTAACATTCTACTGAACCGTGAACTTTTCTGTAGACCGATTTCGGGTCCACCAAGAAGATCGGTTCCTACCAGACCAAGACCTTCGTGGGCACGCCGGAATACTTGGCTCCGGAAATTATTCAGAGCAGAGGTTACAACCAGTACGCACCTATTCCTCTTTTAAATCTATTTTCCGTTAAATTTCGTCTATAACTTGAAATTAATAATAATTGTTTTTTCGTTTACAAACGAAGAGCTGTCGATTATTGGGCACTGGGAATCCTCACGTACGAGCTACTTCTAGCTCGAACGCCTTTTGAAGATATCAACGACATGGAGATGTACAACAAAATCATTCTTGGTTTCAATAAATCTTTATTGCCACCTGCTTTACAAAGTGCCGTAAAACATTTTATTATGTCTCTATTGCAAAACGATCCTGTTAAAAGACTTGGGCATATACGAAGTGACATTCGAAATCACAGGTATGTGATTTGTATAAAAATGTACCTGTAGTTATCTACGTTCATTTTGTCGTAATAATTACAGGTGGTTTAATAATTTCAACTGGCACCAACTACAGAAGCAAACGATGCCATCGCCCATTGTGCCAACGGTAAAGAAAAATATTATTTCCAAATGTCATTAACGCAATAATTGTCGTAAAATATTTATAGAAACAATCAGGAGCAAATTTAAGAGAAATTTGTATTAATTTAAGATATTGTAATTGATCTAATTACTTACAGGTAAAAGGTCCTCTGGATCTGAGAAACTTCGACAGATTCCCACCGGATCATAAGCCGGCGCCAGTCGATTTTTCCGACTGGGACGCGAATTTTTGAATTGGTACAAAATTATTGTTAACTAATTCAATATAATTCTCCTAATATAATTACTCTAATAATTTTGCTATGTAAATAATACGCTGGAAATTTTTTACATATCACTACTCGTAACATGTCACGTATTTCGTAATACACTACCACAATCAACAAACATGATCTTGAAATTTATTTACGTACATTACGTATCTGACTGACATTGGTAATTGCGAAAAAAAAATTCAATAATGAAAACCATGCACAATTGAAGGTCTTAAAGTTATACACATTTAAATGTTATTGATTTGATATTTTCACATTGTTATTCATATGTTCATACAAACTTGATTCACGTATTCTGTCTTATGCGGTATACTGACCAAACAGTGCTTGAAAGCACGATTATTTTTAAGAAAAAGATAGTAGGATATATGTACGCAATGAAGCTTACAGCATAGTTAGCGGGTATTAATAATAATGTTTTATATGTTGTAAAATATGATTTTGTGGTTTTTAATGTGTATATAAAAGTATAGAATTTATATACTACCAATCAGATGAAGAATACCAAATAGAGAACACAGTTACCTGCCCGAAAAACCAGACTTATTTATGAAAATTCCAAATGCCACGCCATGTGAGTATAATACACTTCTCTGACAAACATTTGAATATTTATAAGTTTAGTCCGTCGGGTTGTATGAAATATCAAAATTTTCATTTGGACATTGCGCAAAGCGCGCCGTAACTTCAGGTGGCGCACGATTTGCTGCACTCTGTGCAAATAACCTTATTACACCATCGTTCGAATGGTGGTGAATTTATAAATTTGAATATCATTTAAATAACGCACATAGAACGAATTTCGTAGGCACGCTCTTACGCAAGTAATTTCGTGATAATAGAATTTCCATATACACAATTTCGTTGTTGATCGATGAAAAAGAACATTTTCAACGGTACGCCGTATTGGATTATGGAGTGAGAGCAAACACACGCGTTAGATTTCTTAACAACTATATCTACCAAAGAATATTAAGAGTGAAATGTGAACAGTACAATGGTTTCTAATGTATTCACACGAATCGACGAATACCGCTACGTTATCAGTGATGACAAGACCTAACTTAACATGAGGTGAAACTAGGTCCACAAAGGTTTCACTTATCGTTACATTGTAGCGTTTTATGCGAAATATTCCACTATGGAAGCTCATGAGAATGAGCAGTATGTCACGTTCCCTCTTTCTGGGGTGCATGATGGTATTCAGGATAATATTATATCACACGAGGAGATATGTGAACCTGTCAATGAGTGTGTCCTTCAAGAAGAACTTACTGAAGTATCTGTTACGGATGTGAATGCTGGTATCACCGAGGCACAGGTTGCCGTTGAAATTTTAGCTGAACATTCTGATGAGGAAGATGAAAGTCGTGTGGTATACCCAATATACATTAAACAGGAAGAACAACAGCAGTATACTTCTGGAGACGATGAGTCTATGGCTGTGGAAGCACTCAGACAACTTGGTGGGATGTATCCTTGTTTTGAAGACAAAAAAATATCTTGTCCTAATTGCGCGAACCTTTTTATGCAAGCAGAAATGGCTAAGCATCACACTATGTGTAATGCTAATAAATTGTCTTGTATGACTTGTGGGGAACGATTTGAAAGGAAAATGGACTTAAATAATCACATGGTTTGTCATCAAGTGGATCGACCTCATGCTTGCAGAACTTGTGGTAACTTGTTCCGTTCAAAGAGCAGCTTAAAATGTCATATGTTAGAAGTACACCAGGTGGAGAGACCTCATAAATGTACAATATGTGGAGCAGATTTTCAGAGGCCTTCTAGTTTATCTAATCATATGAAGATTCACACTTATGTTGCTGGTCGTGCTATCATGCAGTCACAAGGTAACAATGTATCACAGTCTGAGGAAACATTCAGGAAGTGGCCTGAAGATATAACAGAGCCCCAAAATAATCAAGTGCCATCGTCTTCTGTACAAAGTGTACAAACTTATGATACTGTTCAATGGACAGTCCCGTCTTATAATTTTCATAATGAACAGTCGGCAGTTAATGTAATATCTAATCCTCAAGAAAAAATGGATACTCTTCATGAGTTCACCGTAATGCCAAATGGGGAAGTAACACAATTCGAATATACTCAACAGGGTAATATAAATAATCAAGTTAGTCAACAATACAATCTTTCGCTGAACTCTTTTAATAACACAGATGCAATGGTAAAAGTTGAAACACTGTCATACAACACTGAAAACAGGAGGAGTTATTCAGAAATTGAAACGAATGGTATAAAGCAGCACACTTGTAGACATTGTGGAATCAGCTTTTCTAGAGCAACAGCATTGGTATCTCATGAAAAGATACATGCATCTAAGAATTGGAACATGCCGATGGAATGTGAATACTGCGATAAGCAGTTCCAAGATGGAAATCACTTAGCTACTCATCAAACAACTTGTGCAAAGAAAATGATGCAAAATAATATAGACCAAGGTGCACCTAACAATAAGTGGGGTAAACATGCGTGTACTGAATGTGGTAAAAAGTTTACCACTAAACAGAAAATGTTCAGGCACCAATGGATTCATAGAAAAAAGACATATTCCTGTGAGGTATGTGGTTCTCAGTATGAAAAACAAAACCAGTTGGATGAACACAGACTATCAGCACATCCTGGTGATTCTCCATTTACTTGTACAGAATGTGGTAAAAGCTTTGTGTCTCGTCAGGGGCTTTGGGAGCATGGCAGAACTCATGCAGGAAGTCCTGCTCACTTTCAGTGTGATACATGCTCCAAAACATTTTCGTCCAGGCAGGGGTATTTAATCCATCACCGAACACACACTGGAGAAAGACCATATGGCTGTAAATTCTGTTGGAAAGCATTTAGAGATGGTGGAACTCTAAGAAAACATGAACGTATTCACACAGGCGAGAGACCTCACGTTTGTCCTCTGTGTTCAAGAGCATTTAATCAAAAGGTTGTTCTAAGAGAACATGTCAGATGGGTTCATGCAGCAGGGAAAAATGAAACTGAAATAACTGGACCTCCTTTTCCTTGCCCTATATGTGGTGCATTGAATCAAGATCGAGATGAGCTGTGTGCACATATTGTTAAACATTCTGACCAAATGATAGCAGAAGCAAAAGCCAAAACTAATAACAATGCACCAAAACCCAAGCCACCTAAGAAAAAATCACGAGCCTCGGCAGGTACTAGCTTGCAAGGAAAACATGCAGCTGGAAGCAGAATAATTTCTAAAGCAGAACAGAATGAAGCACTTCTGTCTATTACAGAGACAGATAAGTCAGATAGTCAGCAACTTTTAAGTGATAAACAAAATAGTACCTTTCTTGTAGTCACTCCAGAAAAACGTAATGAAGACTATATTGCAATATCAGAACTGAAACCTGATAATGTACAATTGATAGTTAATGAGAAACAAGATGAAAATATGCACATTTCACAAACTGATCATAATCATAGGGAATCGTTAAATATAATTACTATTGATAAACAGAATAATGCTACTCACATAGTGCCCACTGAACCAGATGGAAGTGGACTTCACCCTACATCCAGTCATGAAATAACTACAATGCATTTAATACAAACATCAAAACAAAGCAATACTTTACACTTAATATCAAAACAGAACGAGTCATTGCCTGTCTTGACACTACCAAATCCTCAAAGCCATGAAAACTTTTCCAGTCAAATTGCACAAATACATAATAGTGATTTACCTATGGATATGGTAACTCATCATTCAACTAGGGAAGATCAAAATATGAAAGATCCCACTGAAATTGGGCAGGAAGCATTAATACAAGAGGGAGTATCTCAGACAGCTGTAATACAAGTTGTACAGTATCATCAACAGGAAAGCGATGAGGGAGAGGAATTTGTCTGTGGTATCTGTGGTGAAGATTTCAACGACAAGAACGTGTTAATGGAACACGTTAAAATTCACATATAAGTATTGTTATTTTTTTGCTAACCGAGTTTGTGATATTCTCGTGCTATTAATGTGACTATATAGAAAATAATGAACTTCAACATTACTTTCGTTTCAAAGAACAATTGTAAAATATAGCTATTTAAATATCATTTCCAATAGTAGTAGCAGGGCACCAGTTTTCTACATATGTGTCTCTTAAAAACGCAATGATATTGAAAGACAGAGAATTTTCAATTATATTTATACGTTTTTAATTGATTCGTTTTCGTTTTACAATTCCCCAAAATGCTTTTGCACACTTAGGTCGTACACTATACATGTGGTTAAATAATGTACGTGTATTAAAATAAAATCGGATAGATAAATATTTGTACATCATGTAAAACACATTAATGGTTATGGTAGAGGAAAGGAAGAAAACATATCGTAAGAAAAAAGTAATCCGAGGTTTATGTACATTTACCTAATGCAGTTTTATAAATTGTTTGGCGCTTTTAATTTATGTATTGTTTACGATGCAATAAATTTATTATGTATCGTTTTACGATACACAAATTACAATTGAACCAAATGTCACTTACAATGTAGAGTATGAAGTGCAATAAGAAAATAAAGTGCATTTTATTTTCTACATTTATTTTTTTATTTTACGTTATACCGAAACGTATTATTTTCTCATTTTTGGCTTGAAAATTATATATTTGCGTAGGTAACATTTAGATTCATCTTTGAATCGTCCCGCGCTTTTGCAAACAACTTCGTGAACAGTAACGTGTTGCCGGGACGAAATACAAGCGCAGGTTAATTTGTGAAATAAATAATAAATATTTTACGATTACGTTTTATATTTACTGTGTTCGTGCTATGGGATTTCAATAACTGATCATCAAATCTCATTGAAAGTCTGATGTAAAAGTAAGTACCTAAATTTATGAAATAATAATGTAAATACATTTTATTCGCACGTGATTTCAAATTTTATAACATTCAAATTGCGTAAATACATATTGTCGCGTTATGTATTTAAAGATATAACTTAATTTATAAAACGTAACGTTTAAAATTCAAAACAATTTGTACTTTAAACTAAATGTTAACCACCACTTTACGTTTAATATCTCTCTCCCCTTGTCATCATCAGTGCAGAAAACATTTTGTCAACCTGTGTGACATCTCGATTTTTAAGCGTAAAGATAACAGAATATTTATTATAAATAAAGTAGAGATATATAAAAAAGACTGTATTCTAAGCATATTCTATTGAAGCAGTTTTTAATTGAAGAGAAGTACATTTCAAAACGAAGTAGCTTTAACCTCAATCCTACGAAGCGTGGATATTCACAGAAATTAAAGAGGTTATGTCGTCGCTGTTTTATTTTAACAAATAATCAATTGAAAAATAAGAAATATTGAAGCAAAATAAGAAGATTTGATTGAATTTCAAAGCATACAAACATGCCTACGTGGAATCAAATTCAAGCACAGCTACGAAATCCAAATAACCCAGTGGTATTTTTCGACGTGTCTGTGGGTACAACAGAAATTGGCCGAATGATCTTTGAACTCTTTGAAGACGTCTGTCCGAAGACTTCAGAAAACTTTCGACAATTCTGTACTGGAGAATACAGAAAGGACGGTGTGCCATTAGGCTTCAAAGGTGCTATTTTTCACAGAGTTATTAAGGACTTTATGATCCAAGGTGGTGACTTTGTAAATGGCGATGGAACTGGAGTAATCAGCATCTATGGTGGTGGAACATTCCCTGACGAAAATTTCACATTAAAACACGATTCTCCTGGATTATTATCTATGGCAAACAGTGGCAAAGACACCAATGGTTGTCAGTTCTTCATTACATGTGCCAAATGTAATTTCTTGGATGGCAAACACGTTGTCTTTGGAAGAGTTATCGATGGACTTCTAGTTATGAGGAAAGTGGAGAATGTTCCTACAGGACCAAACAATAAACCAAAAATTCCTGTGACAATATCTCAATGTGGACAGATGTAATAGCTAACTGCAATTTATATTTTTATACAGAACCTGTGTATAAGACATGCCATGAATATTGTATTATATTTTGTAAGATTAAACATGGTATTATAATTGAATACTTCTTTCCACTTTTTGTATTAAGAACGGTTTGATTGTGATTTAACGAGCATTATATAATAGGATATAATTTTTAGGTAAATTGATAGGTAATTGCAATTACCAGTTTAGCTTCAAGCTCTAATTATCTACAGGAAACTTGTAATTTGTTATCGATATAGATCAGTTACCAACTCGTACTTCTTACTATATAATTTTTGCAGTATGTAGTTTCAAGAATTATGTTAAATTTTCATCAGCCAGTTAATGACCAATCAAATAGATTTAAATGAAATCAAGTGAAAGAAGTTGTTTTACGAACTCCGATTTTATTACGCTTGATTTACATATGAAATAAATATTCCACTTTACAATCTATGTATATGGTATTATGTTGGATGAAGATCCAAACGCGAATCTTACTTGTGAATTACTCTAAAATACTCTTTTTTTTCGATCCCTTCGGAAGTAACACACTCAAAGTGAAATACGCACGGTACGTGGTAATCTAAATCTATAATTCGCATCGATTGACAAAATTCCAACCGTGAATTTTAGGTCATTCATATCAAGTTACATCGATCAAATCGGACACTATCGGCTACGTGTATATTCGTACCTAATTCGTTCGTTAAATAATTTAATGCCTCTATCGATGTACTTAAAACAGCGAGTCTTATCATTTCAAATAAAAACTACGTATTCATTTCTTATATGCACGAAATTATTACACGTATCGATAAACTGCTTACACTACGTACGATTACATCCGTCTCGAATCCTGTCAACAGGAAATCATATACGACACAACGTGTACCGACGAGTTTGCCACACCGTGGCTCTCGTTGATGAAACGATCTACAAAACGCGAAAAACGAATCTCCGACCTCGATTACGGAATAAATACGAAAATAAAACTCCGTGTTGTCCCTTACGTTGCACAAAATCCAGTGCAGAGAGGCAAATTCTCAAAGGTGTCGGCCTCGAAGTAACGTCAAAGAAAACATCATCGCGAACAGCAGGCGCTACGCAATCCTCTACATATCGAAAACGCCTATATGTATATCGATCGTCCATTTAAATATTTTTCCTTGCAGCCTTTTCAACATTATCATCCCCCGTGATCCATCATAACAAATCAACACCGCTACCTGGATAATAACGATACATTCACGGTATCTGTGATACATTCCACGGTCGGTATCGTGGAGGGGGTTGGGGCAGTTTTGCTATCGCAAAAATCACGGAATCATCCGGATATCATCATCGTCGGGATCGTCACGACCTGAAACAACATTATACCGATCATCATCATCCGCAGCTCACGGTAGCGATAGTAGCTGGTCCCTCCTCTTGGGCACCGTGAGCTGAGGCGCGGTCTACCTGCTGTTGCAGAAAACGTCTTCCTCAATAGTGTCGACCTGCGAGTTATCGTCGACGACCATGATCGGCGTGGCGCCGTCGTGGAGGCTCGACTTCGAGATGGACCGTTTGTATACGTCCCTGGTCACGCTCCTTGTGAAACTGAACTTCCGTACCAGCTTCTTGTCCAACGCAGCCGGGCTCTTTGGCCCTTTAGCCCGGAACTCGTCCTCGGTGCCCTCGTAATGGGCGAGCATCACCTCGGTCGCGTGTTCCTCGATCACATCCACGGCATAATCGATGTCATCATCAGTGGCGTTCTCCTTTATTACGCAGAATCTCAAGATATACTTGCCCATCACCCTGGCCGGGATCATGTGAAGCCTACCGGAAGCATTGATGTTCGCCAACAACTCCTGATTGATCTCGTCGCTCTCCTTCAATCTGAAGCAGACCAGACCCACTCGTACGTCGTTCGTGATCTCGAACCGCTTGTCCTTCTTCATCAGCGTCTCGAACCGTCTCGCGAGCCTGATATGATTTCTTATGTACTTCTGTAATCCGGTTATACCGTACGATCTCATCACGAACCACAGTTTCAGCGCCCGGAAACGTCTGCTCAACGGAATACCCCAATGCCGATAGTCTATGGACTCGCCGGACCTGGCGTGTTGAAGATATAGAGGATCGACGACCAGGGCCGACGTCAATTTCACCCTGTCCCTCACCCAAAGGCAGGAACAATCGAAATTCACCAACAGCCATTTATTTGGATTCGTGTTGAACGAGTCCGCGTGTTGTATACCGGCCATCAGCGGTCTCATTTCTGGGCAGATGAACGCGTTACCGGCGTAAGCGCCATCCACGTGCAGCCAGATGTTCGGATACAGTTTACACACTGGGCCGATCTCCACCAGATTGTCGAACGCACAAGATCCTGTCGTGCCGAGGGTGGTGGAGACGAAGAACGGGACCAAACCGTTCGCCACATCCTCCCTGATCGTAACAGTAGGCGACCAATCGCGGCAGAAACGCCGAGTCCTCGGTGTTCGGGTCCTGTTCCTTCAACGTTCGGATCGCTTGGGTACGCGCAGCCAGCATCGTGACCAGAATACACTCCGATGCGGAACCCTGTATCACTCCACCGCCCTTCGAGGCCTTGTGCTCGGACAGAAACTCCCGTGGCAGATCTATCGCCTTCGCGTACCAGTCGAGCACGATCGTTTCCAGTTCGGTGCAAGCAGGGCTGGCCGCCCAAGAGAATCCGATGCAGCCGATCGCATCGGATAACATGTCCCCGAGAATCGAGGGAAACGAGTTCCCGGATGGGAAATACGCGTGGAACCGTGGATGTTGCCAGTGAGTGATCTAAAAGAATAGCGTTCGAAGCTTTCTTTATTAATTTATCATTTTAACCAGACACATGAAAAACACTCGTACATGCAAACTTGTATAACGTTTGGATTTAATTCTGTTTAAAGCAACTTCGTCGATCACTCTGTAGGGAATAAACTTCATTTCGGTCTTCGAGATCCATGAAAGTGGGAACAACAAGCGGAGAATATGCTCCACGAGGGGGAAAGAACGTGACCGTTCACGGTCGCCTTACTTTTTACTATTTTTTTCGTGTTCGCGAATATTATTAACATCGAATAGAGGTCGGAATCGATAATCCCGCCTCGGCTGGATGTACTTACCCCGGGCATTATCTTGCATTCGACGTCTCGCATTATGGCGTCCCAGGACTCCCCTTTCGCCGGCGCTTCCTTGGGTAGAAGCGGTCTCAGGTAGCCGGGATCCACGTTCGCGGTCACCCTCTTCCCTTCTAACGTTCGTAGATACTCGCAGATGTATTCTACCATCTGCTTGCCGCGTACTTGAAACTCATCGATGTTCATGGTAGTATAGTCGCCGGCTGGAATGGAATTCTGTAAGGTGGCCGTTTCGTATAATTCAGACTCGATTAAGCACGTTCGGGCGTGTACGTGATTCGCGAACGGTTTTCGCTGACTTTTATCGCGACACGCGGAATTCAAACGAGCTTCATTCGCGATGAAAGAAAATATTTCGCGCCGGAATAATTCGATTGCTTCCGTGAAAAAGAAGGGTCACGGGAGGATGAGATTTCGATCCTCGAATTCGGAAGGATGGATCTCGTTTACACGTTTCTGTACAATATCTAATACTTATGGTATAACTATAACCCTTAAATCTTGTTTATAGTATAAGTCTTATACGTTGAAAAAAGAGGCTTAATGTAAAAAGGATTTTACATTGAATAATTTTACATGTTTAATCGTCTCATTTTCGATTAAGTTATTTTTTACATTCGTACTTAATTGTTCACACACACACACACACACACACACACACGCGTCTTCTTTTCGATACACCGAGCGTTACAAACGAATCGTGTGTATCTTTTTTCGTCGTCGATTTAACGTGCACGCGGATCGAACTACCCCTCCGCGTATCTCAGTGTTGCGTCGAGCGAGGCTTAAAGCTCTATAAAGTTTTAATAGTTTCACTCACTTTATTTATTTGTGTTTTGTTTTTACTACCGACAAAACCCATCCACACTTTTGACTATACTACACGGCTCCTCAAACCGAACACGTTCTGGTTCCGTGATGGTGGTAAAAATCAGTGCGTTGGAAAAACTGAGAGCTTCAGAGGGGAACAACACGTAACAGGTTCGTCCCGCGTTGGAACCGAGACTGGTAGCACCTGCCAAAGCGCCGGTCAGTTTTATTGCGCGGCCTCCTCTTCGTACATCCCTGCTTCACGCAGATAAAATTAAGGCGGAGCTTCGGCGATCGCGAGCATTTTTAATTTAGCTACTTCATTCTTCCTCGTAGCAGCAATGGCCTTTTGATAGCTGTTTGCGAACCGAATGGCGATCAAAAAGGTCGCCGTTCTTTACCCTTCTTCCATATTTTCTCGCGAGTCTTCGAGAATTCATCTCACGCGCATCAAATTGCAGACATTTAATTATTTAATTCATTTGTTCTATAATGTATAAATCTTTTTTTCCACGAGAATCGCCGGACAGAGATTAGTTTTCTAGGATAGCTTATTCATCAGATTTCGATTCTATTTCGAAACACCTGATTCACCTCTTTTAGGCTATTCAACAGATTTCGATTCGATTTCGTAACACCTGAACGTAGTTAGGTTATTCAACGGACTTCCATTCGACTTCGAAACATTTGAATTTAGCTTCTTTGCCTTATTATTCTTACTGTTTCTTCAGGAAATCGAAGTCACGTATCGATTAACACCAGGGTCTTACTTTAATCCCCTCCCAAAATTGATTCCCTTCCTCATCGTATGGATCGATCCCCGAAATATACATATACATATATATCAACGAAATTTCGCGAGAAGGGTGTCATCAATGGTGATGGCGCCGCGAGGGGGTCGTCGAATAAACCACAGCCTGTTGTCGACGATGCCACGGGGAGTAAACTCGACCAGCCCCATCCATCCTTCCCCTCCCTGCCCCGTTTATAAATAGACGTTTACTCTTCACCTACATTTACAACACCCCGTAGAGAAGCGGTGACAGGTCACCGGTCAATCTTTGTAACACACACACGGGAACCGGGTGTGATGCACGGTTTTCTATCCGTCCACCACCTTCACGCATGGTCTCCTCCCGACCGTAGTTTTCGGATTGGATTCTCAATCAAGCCTATTCCCGGGGATGCCTGGCGATCTCGTTCGAATTAATTAATCCCACCACCGACCACCCCGTTGGTCCTTACATTTTTATCGAGGGATTAATACAAAAAAAAGGGAAAAGACCTCGAAGCAATTAAGGTATCGAATTCGATTTTAAGGAAACTGACACTGGGACCATTAGGGGATGAAAGTATATGTATATATGTATTAGGTGTACAAATTAATTCGTGGTCCCCACAATTAATTATCGACTCAAAATCACCAACATTTCTTCGAGAGGGGTGTTAGCCAACTGGCCTAGAAATGGCGGAAAGTGTGCAGAAAATGATGAATATTTTCATGACTAGATTGTAAATAAACGAAACATCTATGAAAAGAAGGGCACAAATTAATTTGTACACCTAAGATGTATACCTATATATTTGGTACGGTAATATTTTTATTGAATTTCCTGGTTTCACATAGCATATTGGAGGTTTTTGAATGGTATACCCCAGACGAACTGGGTCACTCGAGTGGAATGTCTTCTAATTATCTTGAGCAGTTTATTCGAAGGGTTGCAGACAGGGTATGTGGTAACATTAACCGTTAGATCGTTGCGATCGTGCCTTCGACGTATCTCCTAAATATCTCTCCTCCACGATCGCCCCTCCCCCATCCCCTTAATTTCTGCGATCTTCTTCCCAGGCGTCGTAGGATGAAATATTCACTCGATTAATCGACACATTCCCAGCGTAACTTCCCACGTAAGTCGATTACGTTCGCGCGTGTATCGCTTGACGTGAGCCCCGTGGATCACGTACGCGCAACGACGGAACACAGGCGTCATAATTCCACGACGGAGAATCGGCTCGCGATTTTTCTCTGCGTAAAACGGAGCGTTTGAAGCGTGAATCGTAAACGGAGCCGGATAAATGTCACGTATTGCTCGGAGCGTTGAACGTTGGGGACAAAGATGAAGGAACGTGAGACCGTGTAAAAACGGACAGCACTGTCCAGGTGCATCGTATTGCTCGATCCGTTGACACCCCCGCCGAAAATCTTTTCGATCGTCGCGAAAACGGGACTTTATTTTCTGACCCCTAGTTTTCGCGATCCCAGACACCATGAATTCTTCCCCCCGGTTTCTTGCCTCCTTTTTTTATTTCTAATTCAAAGGGACCGGTTAATTTTCATTTATAACGCGGTCGTTTGATTCTGAGATCGCTCGCAGAGTCGACGTATGTACATACAGGAGAATCTTGTGTGTACGCGGCACGTCCACGTGATTCCGTCGCGATCCAAACGGAGCGCATCTATATAAACAGATCGATAGGCGAGTAAAGATGTGTACACTTGTTATTTATCGAGCGTAGACGCGTTCGAGCATACGGTAATCCATCGTCAGACGTTGCCTCGATGGGGTGGCTCGACGCCCGACCTCCATTTTGGAGAGAAGTGCTCGATGAACGACACTATCAAGACGCGCCATCGACGATCCATACATACCCCCATGGATGGACTTATAATTTGTAGGTTTCTCAAGTTCGAATTCGCGGGTCAATCCTCTATCGGCTCACACGGGAACTTCGTTCTCTCGACGGTTTCGTCGGCAGTACTCGCGGATTCAGGCGGGGGGAATCTCGAATTCCGTTTCTGGTGAATACCAGTGCACCTGGAGAAACGTGTTCGAAAATGGGATAAACGAGATGGGAAAAGAGAGGACGCTTTACGCCCTCCCGTTCGGCGATCTCCCGCGCGACGGCGAACCGGATGGTGAAGGCTCTGGGCTACAGCCGTTGCTGCTACCCCGACGACTTCCGGTACTGCCTGCCTTCAAACGGACCATCGTGTCCAGATGACGGAATCTGAAATGAGGTATACCCTTAAACACCATTTCTTGATTTGTTACATTGTATTGATTGTTATGAATGTATTTTAAATTCGGGGAAAAGGGAAGGTTTCTTCGAGAGCCTCTTTGTCACGTACCTCAGAGACAGCTCGCTAGTATCAGCAGCGTCTTTCGCCTGCATCAGTACACGCAATGGTACTAAAAATTTTGGAATCTCACGTCGTAGGATTTGGATTCGATCCAATACCGCCGATCGTCGCCTGCGTGTCCAGTTTCGCTCCAGTCCTGTTCGGGGTTTTCGTGAATCCAGGCTGAATCGCGGGATCGGACACCATACGAACGAAGAAGGACCTCCTTTGTTCCAGAGTCGCCTTCCTCTTCTTCTCACGGATGTCCGCCAGTTCGTCCATAACGTCCTGGAATTTCAAAACGTAAGAACACTTGGAACACGCGAAGAGACTACGAGAACAAGAGTACGATCGGGTGTTTCACTTGCCTTGGACTCCAATAACTCGGCCAGATAGTCGGTTATGATACTCCAGGCCGTGTCTACGATGTTAAAAATGTTACAACGTGTACAAAACGGAATCACGAGAGAACAACGGGAACTCACCGACGTCGTTTGCAGTGGCGTTGGGAGCGGCGAGAGCGAAACGAATGGTGAAACGTTGATTCACTCTGGCCGGGACCATGTGTAGCTTCCCCGAGTCGTTTATGGTGCTCAGAAGCTTCTGATTCAGCTTGTCGGAGCCCTTCGCGCGAAAGCACACAAGTCCCAACTAAGAGGATTCGAGACCAATTAAGGTATATCGCGACGTTAAGCCCCTTTTATCACTTGGAGGGCGCTTGTACGAGGTAACAACTCACCACCACTTCATTGCACACTTCGAACCTGCTGTCCTTTTTGACCAGTGCCTCGAATCTTTTCGCTAACTCGATATGGTTTCTTATATAGGCCTGCAGACCGGATATACCGTAGCTTCTCAGGACGAACCAAAGCTTCAAGGAACGGAATCGTCGGCTCAGAGGTATGCTCCAGTGCCTGTGAAAGGTGTATAAAAGGATATCACAAAAGAAAATAATTACAAGACCAAAGACGAAGAATCTACATGGGACAGATAATTATTGTCACACCTGTAATCGATCGCCGTGTCCGCGTGAGTGTGTTGAAGATAAAGCGGATCGACGACGAGCGCGCTGGTCAGCTTGAATCTGTCCCGTACCCATAGGCAAGAGCAATCGAAGTTCGTCAACAGGAACTTATTGGTGTTCGTGTTACAGGAGTCCGCGTACTCGATACCGGCCATCAGGTACTTCAATTCCGGACAAATAAACGCGTTACCCGCGTACGCTGCGTCCACGTGCAACCACACCTGCCAAAAGAAAATGTGAACCTCGAATTATCCGATAAAAAAGAATACGGTAAATCCTCGATGAGTGTTCAAAGGCAAAACATTAAACCTACCACGACCGGACAAATGACCGGTTTTGTCGTTCTAATTCCTACCTTTTCGAAGGGGTAGGTTTAGTGTTAAAAGGTCAGCGTTACACCTGGGGATCTCTCCTTGTCAGTGCCGAAGAGCCTTCGAGCACTCATCAATGATTTACTGTACAACCCAGTACACTAGTGGTTAAAAGCGATCGCCTTACGCCAGGGTATTTTTTACAAATCGGGCCGATTTCCTTGAGATTATCGAAGGAACAGCAAGCGGTGGTGCCGAGGGTGGTGGAGACGAAGAACGGGATGTACCCCTCGGCAGTGTCCGCCTCGATTGCCTATTAAAAGAATTGAATCATTGGAATTATCGAGGAATTACGGGAGGTGTACCAGGAGTTATCATCGATCACAGGAAGAACGATAAGAAGGCACCTGACGCAGAGTTTCGCCGCGAAGCACGCTCTTCTCGTCAGGCTCCAGAATTCGAAGTTTCACGATGAAGAGCGGTTTCGTCCAGATGCGAATGCGCTGGCGATTCCTTCAGCCTAGCGATCGCTTGCGCTCTGGCCGCCAGCATGCACACCAACACGCACTCCGAGGCTGAACCCTAAATGTCGAATGTAAAAACGACATTTCTTTCGATATATACTTCTTTTACACGAAAAACACCGTTCACGGAAGAGGTGGTGATGAAGAGAGTTGTTACCTGTATCACACCTCCTCCCTTGCTACCCGGATTAAAGTACAGAAAGTCCGTCGGAAGACCGATAGCCTTGCCTGGGATTCGTGAAAATTCAGAAAATATTTTAATCGGGTTTGTTAAGTTTCTTATTTGTAGTATATACAGGGTGTCCCATTTAAATCGACCCACACGAGTATCTCCGAAACTGTTAACGACATGTTGTCGATTTAAATTGACCACCCTGTATATATTGGAGGAACGTTATCATTACCAAACCAATCGCAGACTATCGTTTCCAGCTCTGTGCAGGCCGGACTGGCCGCCTAGAACAAACAACAATGTCGTTAGTCACCATTTGACGATCAGAGCAAATAATTACCGATCGATCCGTCACCGCTGACGGCGTACACTCCGGAATTCTGTTCGGAGGAATCGGATTCGTACGTAGGACGGTTCCAAGGACAGATAAAAATGGAAAAAGATCCGAAAGCTCACCCATGAGAATCCAATGCAGCCTATCGCGTCCGAAAGCATGTCGCCGAGGATCGACGGAAAGGAGTTCCCGGCCGGGAAATAAGCGTGAAATCTCGGATGTTGCCAGTGGGTAATCTACAGAAAAAGAAGAAAAAAAAGAAATGCTTCGTGCGGTTCTACACCACCGGCGTCGATTGCTTTCGTATCGATCTCGAGAGGACCACGGTATAAAGAAAAAAAAATCGTTCTTTCCGCTTTTACCCCAGGCATGATCTTCGATTCAACATCCTTCATAATGTCTTCCCACGGCTCCGGCTGTTGCGGCGGTTCCAACGGTAGCAACGGTCTCAAATATCCGGGTCCAACGTCCGGCGTTACTCTCCGGCTGTGGATATTGCTCATAAACTCGCAAATGTATTCCACCATCTCCTTGCCGCGGACACGAAACTCTTGGATGTCCATGGCCGATATTATTCACTCTCTCGGTTGGAGCTCTCGAGGGCACCTTTAATAGTAACAACACAATATCTTCGGATATCAATCTTCTTTCAAATAAAGGATCACGTACTGGCCCAGACCTAATCACCGATCCCCGAACAGAGGAATGACTACGTTTCTTCACTTTATTCTCCAGCACAAACTACATCGTCTTTCATCGATTCTCGACGGTATGTGTACATCCCGTACAACCACAGACACTATTTCTCAAGAGAAAGAAAAATTTAGCCGTATACAACTCTAGGATCTTCCTGTTTAGAACATTCTCCTATTCACTTTACAACAAGAGTGTCCTACAAATCCCCGAAGAAATGTATGGTCCCTCCCACCTGGGTGCACGGTGAACTCATTCCTACCTGTTGCTAGTCACAGACGACGAGGGATGGATGTGGTGTAACGGGGGCTTGCGTCCAATCCGGGGTCCACGTCGGATGAGCCACCGCCGAACAATCCCCAGTTCCTCTAACCACCGTGGATATATCGAGGATCCTGGCCGCGAGAGCCAGAAAAAGTCCTCCTCCGACTGGTGCGCAAACGCGCTTCCTTCCAACAAGCGATCTTCTTCCTTCAGGAGGGGGAGAGGATCCTCGAGGCGAAAGGACACGGAACGGTGAGGGCACACGGAGGCGGATCTATGTGTGCCGCCGCGATGGTACAATTTCCGTCAAGGGGATGCTTGAAATAGACACGCGGGAACCCATCGTCGGGGCTCTCTCGTCCGCCTAAGTAAGCTCATTCTTGGCGTTCCGTCAGTCGGCTCTTTAATAACTGTTACGCGGCAACGGGGCGATTACACGAGTGGATAATGCAACGACTACCCCGAAACTTGGAAAATAATCCCGGCAATATCCGCCGTGTAGGATCGTGACCGAGTTTTATCGGGGACACGACAACACGTGCTGTACACACGCCTTGTAGGAAAGTACGACGGGGTATAATCGACGGCAGATGTCCCCCGAACGAGGATCGAATCCTGGACTCAGGGGAAGTTCCTTCGCTGATGTCACTTCCGTGAGACGAAATGTACCTGATAATCCGCTGACTACTCACCACCCCATGTGCAATTTGATCGAGCCACCTTATGTAACGGAGGAGGATCGTTCGAACGTCCCCCTGTTCGTTGCTACCGAACAACGTGTGTTTCGATAAATATATAGGAAAGGTGCATATACAATCCACGGTGAAGGATGAGTCACTAAAAGTCACTGAAAATTCAAATCAAAAAGGGGCGTCGAAAGTTTCCGTGACGAGAAATCTCATCACTACCCTCCGCCTCCTTGATCGAAACGCGGAAGTATGCATAGAATCGGTCGAACACCGGTTCGAGCAGAATTCTACCGGAGAAAGGTCTCGAAACGCGACCAAGTCGTCGAGCATCTTCACCACGGTGTGGCTGGCCACTCGAATAAATTGGAAGCCGGTCTTCTAGGAGCGCGCGATGGTTTATTACGGCGGCGGAAGAGCGCGCGTAAGCATCGTTAAGAAGGTGTCAGACGCAGAATGTCCCTCCGCGGCTGGTTCGAGAGAGATCCCCCTCCCGAAAGTCCTCGAAATCCTTGACCTTTTCTTCCACGTTTCTCCTTTTTTTTTCTCACAAGAATCCTACGCGCACGTTAAACGTGTCCCCGATTGACCGCTCGAAATTAGATCGTTAGAACTTCTTAACCGCGTTCACTTCCGGTTAACACCTGGCCCCTAAAAATGTGGATTGCTTCTTTCTTGTCATTTTTAGAGGAAACACGCACGAGGAGCCACCGTTCGATGATCGAATTGCAGTGGCCCCACGACTGCTTGTGTACTACATGGGCGAATAGCATGACAGACCTATATAGGGGCGAATAATGATTTCTGTCCTAGACACGGAACTAGGGGTAGCTTCAAGAAACTCAGTTAAATCTTTAAAGGGAATCGATCCACGATGGACGGTGGTGTCACTATATACCTGACGAAGTCAGAGGACTAGCTGTATAATAGAAATATCATAGTTGTTGTTCTTTTAGGTGCAGTCGAATGGTATATCGACTATCCTTTAGGTCCCAGACCTTTATGCGCGTTTCTTTGCTCAACTAGGGTGTTTATGAATTGCTGGGAATCGATCAGGCCGTGGTTAAGGGTCCATCTGACCACAGATGTTTTCATCTGTTGCATGTCAGCTTGTTTACAATGTCGGTCAGATATTAGGGGAAGGTTGCCGAATTTTGACCATCGCCTAGGTTGGACCACTAATGCAACTTGTCATCTGTAAGTACGCAATGTAGACAATATGTGTATGATAGTGATGATCACATTAACTAATTTATATATAACCAACGCATATTGTCTATCACACACTGCAAATTGACATTACATGTGACGAGTTACAGTAGTGGTCCACCTTAGGCAATGGTGCAATCTTCCCCTATGTATATCTACCTGACCAGCTCATTTAAGGGGGTCATTGAAATCCGCATCACTTGTGTAGTATCCAAAGAAAAACCCAAACGATTCTTCGCGTCTGGCTTTGGATACTACAGCGTGCCTCTATACCATCTCCCTTGCTCCAGCTTAACTTTTCAAAATTCAAACCCATCGGACTCGAAAAAACGGTGCATCGAACTCCTGGGGATCAGTCGAACGTGGTCATCGTTCATTGAATAGCTCGGACCGCGTAAGGTGAAACGACGCCCTTTAGGGATAAAAACGTTCATAATGCTGGAATGCAGGAGCGAGGTACTGGCAGGGGCGCTTAATAATGCAATATGGCGTCTTGGCGTCGCGGCGCTATGCCGGCTATGCCGCATACCACCACCATACGCACGCCTACACTGCCGAGAAAGCACCCTTTTACACCCCCTTGACGAAGGTGCGGTCGGGTAGGGATGTACCGTGCAATCGAATGCTGATTGGAAAATATTGATGGGGCCTTCCATACGGGGATCCCCCTCTCCGAGCAGCTTTTTTCAAGCTCGCCTCGGAATTCCGGAAATTATATCGATCCGCGAACTTTATCGAGGTGCTGCGCCCTGCATGCACCTCTCTTGCCCCCAATATTAATTGACGATCATCGAAATGAAATTGATGGGGCCGAACGGAGCCAAAGTTTGCCTTCCGATGAAGTATTTCTTGTTGAATATTTGCAGAAAGAAATTAAAAACGGTGGGTCAGATATACTTACGTCCACATACCCATTGGAATATCCTTTTCTTGTTTCGTTCGGACGAGGCTAAACGTTGTTGACGAAGAAATCTGCGTGTGCGTTCATCTTGGTAATTAAATTGTACAGATTAATGAGAGGACAGTCACGGTAAGGAGGAACCTGTATACGTGGTAGTCGATGAAATTGTAGGCCAAGTTCAGCAAAAACACATTTAAACCATGTTTCATGGGGGACAGCGAGACCTGAAACGAGTTCTGTGGAAGACTGTACAAGTTCCGAGTTCCATGAATGGTTTCCGGCGATAGTTAGGGAGATCGTGACCTACTGTCGGATTGGCGTCGCCTCCTTTCATCCCTTGAAACGGCATTCTCGCGACTTCTATTCCCGTAGTTCGAGGAAGATTAATTGGATGTTGGACTCGTGATTAATAAGCCGGTCATTTAATACTTCCAGATGGGCAGGTCGAAGTTAAAAAAGAAAAAGAAGTGGACGAAGAACTTGAGGGAGGAGCCAGAGGTTTCCGATGTCCCTGTACCTAATTTACCGGAGAAGTTTCTTTTAATGCGCGTGAGTCCGTAACGGTGGATGAAAACGGAACTTGTTTAACGTTAGCGCGAACTCGGTAACGTGACTTAATCGGGGATTTTACAGGTGAAAAGCGGCACCAAGATTCGAAACGTTCTTGGATACGCACTGAAGGAATTTCCGAATTACGGCAGTGTCGTGTGGACGTCGGCGGGTCACGGGGTTGGAAAGGCTATTTCTTGCGCGGAACTGTTCAAACAGAAACACGAAGGACTTCACCAGATCACAAAATTGCGTTACACTCGGTGAGGACTCGTCGGGAACGATATTGTTAGGGTTTTATGGTTACTGTTTGAATCTTCAATTGTAATTACAATTCCAGATCAGAAAAGTCTAAAACGGAGAATGAAGAGGGCACCAAAACGGATACCCGTCACGTACCGGAAATATACATCTCACTGACGAAAGACGTGAAGGATAACACGGAACCCGGGTAAAAAATTGAATTTCTTTTTGTTTTATTTGCTATTGTTTACGGTGTCTTCCGGGGATTACATAGCTATCAGGCACCCGACGATCGCGGGGAATTCTTGAATGGACAAGAACCGAAAAATGGGAAGAAAGGAGGGAGCAAGGAGGCTGGTAGTAATGTGACCTGCATCGATGCCGAGGAATTCGCGGCGATGGGGTTGAGAACTGGTCAGAAAAGGCCGAAAAAAGAGCAGCAAACAGAAGCACCGCCGAAGAAAAATAAAAAGCGAAGAAACGATAATCGATAATGAGGTAGAAGGGAAGTACGTAAATGGCATTGTTTAGTAAAACTCAATTAAAAATCATCGAGATGCAAGTGTGAACTGAAAATTAACCGGTTTCCTTCGATCGAGAATATTCCTTTTCCTCCAGTTTTGATATTATTCGTGAGGATATTCGATAGACTGAGGTTTTGTATTAAGTAGAAAGTTTATTCTTAGTCAGTAGATGCACATTCGTTACAGAAGTGGATCGCATAACAATATATTCCTGTAGACATCCTGTTAATGAATATTCTCAAAGTTTCTTATTTACACATCATTTATATGTACAATGTTATAACAGGTATGCATGAACATCGCGAGCTTATACGTAGTACGAAAGTTTTCAGTGCCCATATGCGTGAATTCGTTTGCGTAGTTTCAAAAAAGTGATTATTCTACCACATCGCAATTGTACCGTAACAGTGCAAACTATTACGATATTTCGTCAAAAGAAAGTGGTACTGTTTGAAACTTGTGTTGTTCACAAGTTGATCATAATGGCAAACAGAATGTTTTACAGTTGTCGAAACAGTTTTTCGATGATATCGTATCAAATTCGTACAAGCATAGGAAAGTTTCCTTAAACGGCATAACAAACTGTATATTCATTTAATATTACATTAATCGCTGGTGTGAAGTCTATCCAGTAGAGCTTATATATTCGGCAGTGATGTAGACGATCATCCGCCACTGATATTGCTTTGTCTAGTAAAAAAAACTAGGGAATGCTTTCAACGTTGTGTCTGATGGTTGTATAAAATTGTCAATGTATAATTATCCGAACTTGCTTAAATGATTACGAGACAATGTTGTTTCTTTTTAATGTCGCACAAAATAAAATATAACTTAAAATATAACTTTTCGTTAGGGATTAAGATTACTTACATTTAAAAGTTGAGTTGTCTGAGATTGAAAAGTGTTTCTGTGTCTAATGAGTTAACGAAATGATAAGTAATGAATTTACAAAAGTGCTTCACGTTTACTCGAATTCCCTAGCCTTACTTTTATAAATGCAAAAGCCCTGGCAATATGTCAGAACCACACACATTATCCTTATGTCTAACAGGTGAGACAATTGAAATGTAACTTCTTTGAACTGTGATATATCGTCAACAACGGGAGAGAAGCTTAATGTTCCAGGTTTGTTACCACACGAGATAGATATGATATAAATAAGAACACTACAACATTTATTACCATCACTGACATTGATAATAATGGTGAATAAGAATTCGTCTAATATTGTGATTATAATTACATCATATCGATGAATTACTTTATATTATACTGGATAAATCTATTTCTTCATCACGAATTCTTTAAAAGAAAACTGTCTTAAAAATCAGTCGATTAATCTTACTTATTAATTTAGATATAATTTACACTTAATTATATAAATGAAACAACTCAATATGAAAACAGTTTTTCGAACTTCATCTATAATTAATAATTTAAATAAAATCAAATATTTTTACAAAAATGTGCAATACTACAGAAACTTCGACAAAAAAAACATTTGACCCGAACTTCTTGTTATTAATACAATACTTATATGAGCAAGAATTCAATGACACAGAATTATCTCAGATTAAATACATTATAAAAAAAATAACAAAAAAAGAACTACATCTTCATATAAAAAGACTTAGTAACAGTTTGTTTCATTATTTCAATTATCTCATACACTATAAATCTTACACATTATAATAGCAAACGTACACTGTAAACATTACGAGTAAGCATGAAAAATTTCTTTACATAGTGAATTGTTTTTAGAAGACATTGAGGAGAAGTATCCTAGTGTTAAATTTAGAAATTCACATAGCGATTTAGGTGGTATAATTACCGACACGTTTCCAATACTCTTGTCACACATGGAACTACGTCAAGTGGTATTTCAGCAGTATTTTAATGTTACCAATGATTTCTCTATATCTGGCAAATCAGTTTTGGGCAATATAAATAAACATTCAGACTCTAAGCTTCACTTTCTGTGGTTCCATCCTCTTCCATAATTGGTACTATCAAACTTTCTTTTGACATCAAACTGTACTTTGTTACAAATGCTGTAAACCTGCAACAAGAAGGCTAACTCAGTGACAAAATAGATAAAACAACATAACATGTAGAAAATGCAAAATTATTTGCTGTACCTGCGACACAGAAAAGTCTCATTCTCAAACTCATCGAATATTATTCTGTGGTGATAGTATGCATGAGAAAAGATTCTGTAAACCCTGCGACTAACAGATCCCAGCTTAGCAACTGAAGATTCCTTGATACTCACTCTGAAACGAATTGGAAACACGTGTAACTGTAATAATTACAAATGACTTTTTCTTTTACGTATAACTACTTATCCTACCTGCTGGGAAAATATTTGTTACTGTTAAGCAAACAAGCTGCACCGTCAAGTGTGTGTCTTGTATAATCAATAGCTGGACATTCCTTGGGTGTCTTATGTGCAGCACACAAGAATATCCATTGTTCGGTAGCTGTCATTTGAGTACAAATTTCTGGATGACATTCTTCTTGCAGTCTCACTGTTAAACCATTTAACTCCATACAAAATTGTCTGAGGTGCTCATATTTCCATACAGCTTCATCTTGTGCATCTGGCATTTTGAGTATTAAATCAACATTGGCAGGTTCTCTTCTGATCATCTGTTGAATATATTGTTGCACGGCCAATGTGCTGTCCATTTCCTCAAATGGTTCATCCGGCCATCTACAGAAATCCTAAACAAATGACATTTCGAATCACAAAAGTATATAAACATCCAATGATTACTTTTACTCCCTTTCTTATCACAAAACAGTAATGATGCACTACGTGATTACCTGTCAAACATTTGCATGTTTATTATTAGGGCGTAACATGAAAGATATTTGCAACACCTAATTAACCTAAATTCGTGTTACAGATCATAAAGAATCTATATATTAATAAACACACGGGACAGATTAAACAGGATAATATATATTATTAGAATGTGTAAACAGTTGCTTGTTTTGTAGACCGTTCATTGATTTTCATCAGACATGTCAGGGACGCGTTCGAATGTTTCTGCAAGTACGCCCCGTAGAACGGAACATACATTGGATAATAACATGGGATATATGATGGCCATAAATCGTTAACGAAAATAACGTCATTATTAACCTTTGCTTTTGTTCCGGGCCTATTTCTTCTGAGGATTGTAGGTCCGTCCGCCATCTTCATTTTGCCAGTTGTTGCACTTGATCAGCGTGCACGTTTGATCGGATCAAATAAAAAGATCTGATGTGTCGTAATGTCCGCCTAGAGAGTAGCGACTAGAGATGGCGTGCAAAATCACTAACGGTGATTTATCACAGTGATCGCAGAATCACGATCACGGTCGTGTGACCGTGATTGCGATTTTTTTATCTTGAGTGAATTTGCTCACTGCGATCGTAAGTCCTTGATCTTTAAACAGAAAAACGTATTCAATATGATTTTACGATGAATTACATTACTATTCGTGTTTGTAAAAATCAGTAGAAAAAACAAGAAATTCTAAAAGAATGATTTGCTAGGTAACATGTAAATTATAATTTATAAACATTAAGTTATTCATTATTCTTCATTGTTTCGTTACCGATAAAGCATGAATTCTGAGTATTATTAGCACAAATGAAGTGTTATATATTTCATTTATATTGCATGTATCTATATGATTTGACGGGAATAAAAATATCCGATGCTTCAGTTTAAGGTTCAGGGATAAATATGACAG